CACAGTGCCTCGCCATGGGGTCGGAATGAGCCAAGATCGCCCAATGGCTCTGGGGCGTCCCGCGGTGGGCAAGTCTATTCGAAGAAGCCCGCGTCCTAACAAAAAGGGATTGTTGGTCAGATTTGTAGACACATATCCGGAGGTGATAGGTGAAGGAGGTGACGAGACGGAGTTGCCCACCATAGAAATTTCCAAGAGGAAGAAGGCAAAGCAAGCTGCATCAGGACCACCTCCACCTCCCCCACACAGAACTCCAGTACAGTCACAATTCCCAGCACAGGGATCCGACCCATTCGCAGACCAAAACTCCTCGCCGGTAGATGACTTCAAGCCAAAGGCGCTGTCCAGATCCCAGACCGGGTACTCTTCCATCTACACACCTGAGAACGACAATGACGGACCGCCAAAGCCATTGTCAAGGTCACAGACCGGTTTTTCTTCCGTCTACGAACCCGAGTCTGACGAAGAACCGCAGAACAGCCAGCCGCCAAAGTTGGACCTCCCGCAGTTCAATTTGGCGGCTGCTTCCCCAGATCCAAGCTCACGATCGCCCCCCGCATCCCAGGATACTCTGTTACCGGGTAGGACATCCTCCTCGAGATATTTGGAATCATCGCCTAGGCATGATGAGGCTCGCAGGTCGTTTATCGAAATTCACCAGGCAGAGATGCGAGAAGCTGAAGGTGCAGCATTCGCAAAGGCTGCGCGAACAGCGAGTGCTGCGTCTAATCACAATTGGGCTGATGGCCGTAGACCGCCGTCGGATATTATTGAGAGCTCGCCCGAACGAACTAGGCAACGGCGACCTTCACAAGACTCGGATCCGACCAGCCAATCCGTCCAGTACAGTCCTGCCGCCTCGATTCACTCGAATGACTCGGATCACACCACGTCGTCCAACTTACTTTCTGTCCAATCCCCCCCAACTTCATCCCTTTCCAGACAGTTCAGTGTTGCCGTCCGCCAACCTGAACGAGCCCAGCTCCCAATAAGAGCGGCGTCTGTTAGGGTTCGCGAGACAGTTGGTTCCTCTGCCGAAGATGCTCTGGAGATGTTTGTGTCTCGGACAAAGCATCTATTTGAGCTGTTTCGACTTCATGCCGAGAGCGTAAAGCATCTTTCTACCAGCACTCCCAAGGATTGTGCCCGAGCTGGTCTCTGGTGGTTTCTGAAAGGCAGGATGGGGTTGGAGTCAAGCATCCGGGATCGTCCAAGCAGTCCACAGTCGCAACTGAAGAATGAGCTCAGCCGACAGCAGGCTTTCACTAACCTGGCAAAAGGATATTGGCTCTGTGATCCGATTATCATTGAAATCTCTGGGTCTCAAACCGTGCAGCCGGACGCGGAAACCATCGAGGTCTCGGACAGCGTAATCTCCGCTCTATCAAAGCTCGCCATGTCGATGAAGAGGAACCAACTGATGCCCCCGGAGGACGCATTTCTACCACAGACTCTGGACAAGTCTATTTGGGTTGAGTACCCCTCTCTTAGCCAAGACATGGTCGCACTGCTTTCTGGTAACTGGGGTTCGGGGATGAGCGCGATGCAGCATCCCATGTCCACTTTGCATCTTTTGGATGCTTTCCCAATCACCGACACGCCAGAAAATTTCAGCTATGGTAGAGTGATGATAGACCTGAGCCTCATGGAGCAGGGCGGCAGGGAGTCTGAGAAGCTGACTTTCCCTTGCATGCTATCCATGGTGAGACCACAGAAACACAGCGGTCTTGTTTTTGTCATTGCAAGCCAGAATGGAAACGTGCAGCTTGCGATACAAGAGAACAAGAACGCAGGACCTGTCTGGGATGATGTTCGTTGGCGAAATGAGGCTTGTACGCTCGAGGTGCGTTTGCCGCGCGGGTTCATGATTGTTATTCAACTATCGCAACACGACTTCCGGTTACTGTGGAACATGTATGATTTCGGATCAAAGGTCAAATCTACGCTGTATCCTCGAAAGGACGAGGTTGTCGTCTTCCGCAACACTCTTCGCTCTTTCCAGTACATGGATGCGGATCCCAACTCACGACTATTCCCTAAAGAAGTGGTCAACAAATGTGAGGTTGCCCTGTTTGAAAAGTTGTTAAAGGAAGTCGGGCCATCCGGCACACGTATCTGGCATCGAGGTTTCCGAATTGCCGTCGTCACGGGTCCTCAGACGAAGACCGTCAGCGGGGTACACCATACGTACCCGCCATATCAGCCGTTGCAATTTAGTTTTTTCCGCGCCGAAGGGGAGGCGCCCGCTCTCTCTCTGCGTTTTGAAAATGGCCGGCAGAAGGGCAGGATGATACTGACTTTCAGCGACCAGAAGGAGCGTGTACGGTTCCACTCACTACTAACCGGGACTGCGCTGAATCACGACGAGAGAATTTTCACCGATGTACCGCTGAAAGGATTTACCATATCTCAGAGTCTTCGGGAGCCGCTTGGAGTCTCACCCTTTAGTCGCATGCCCTGGAAAGCAGCCAGAGTCGTGAACGAGGAATTCGGCCCAGACGGCGATCAGCCGCCCACCGTTCTGGCAGACAAACTTAAGGTGGTCCTCGAGTATCAGAACGGTACTGTCACTGATCGAATCAACGTGGGGCCCGGCGAGCTGAGGATGCGCCTGGAGGTTACCAATGCGAAATTGTTTAGACTGTGGAGGCAGCCTCAGACCGATATTGGAATCTCTGTATCTGAATCGCAGGTGCCGAAGGAGCTGCCGAGAAATCTCTCCGATGCCCTCCAGCTGCTCAAAATCAACCAAACCATCCGAACAATGGAATTTGAGACGCTCAAGGATCTCCACAACTTCCAAGCAGCAGTTACCGGGTTCGAGGTCGTTTTCGATGGGCTGGCTGCAACACTTGCCATATCTCGACGACGCATGGTGGTGCCAATTCACAAGAAGTGGGAAGCGGGATTCACGAGAATCCAACTCGTCCAGCAAGAGGACAAGCTTCAGATCCTTGCTTTCTTCGAAGATTTCCACCATGGGCATTGTATGAACTGGGTTCTCAAGGGCACCGATATCTATGAGACCTTCTCTCGGAACGGAAAGGCCGGAATCAAATTCGTCGATGCAAAGTTTCCGCTCCCGCGACTCCCCGCAGAGAAGAATGGAGATTATGATGAGATGGCCTTTGTTTGTTTGGATTTACCAGATCTTCCCGGGGAGCACGACGATATCGCAATTTTGTTTGAAAATGAGGAGGGTAAGTCTATCTTTGCACCTGCCCTATTAATGATTTCGTTGCTTGAATTCTAACGTGGAAACAGAACGTGATCGGCTTATCGAACTACTCCCTGCACCTGTTAAAGGATCTACGAGGATGTCACGGTTAAAGTGAGGTCAGCATGACTATTAGCACTGGGATTCGGCATACATATCGAGAGGCATTGAGAAAAGTCATGACACATTTCAGAACTCATCAGCCAACAAGATGAGCCAATTATTGTTTTTATAAAAGAAGCTGTTGTTTACTCTGTTATAATGGAACTACGAGGGGTAGGTTTATATAGACAAGACCCCCTCCCATGTAAGCGAGAGTTAGCATTTCTGTTGGGGAAGATATGGTGGAGGAATCACAAGCGAGCATCTGATCCATGGGAAATTACCGCATGAGGTATCCGGGATCTCAGAGGAGTTGGGAAGCCATTGGTTATTAGGATTCTGAACGAACAAGATACAAAATTCAAAAACACAAGATAATTATGCTGCAGCCTTCGCCGGGTGTTGTCTCTAGCGATGTGCCTAATGAACTAGGTGAGCTTTCGTGGTCTCATACTAGCCTGGCAGGCTCGACGTACGGCGGTGAAGCCTCGTATTTCATTCTCGCATTTTTCGGGTCGGGACACTCGGCATGATCAGCTGTCAGGCATCCAACGGTCGCCATGTACTTGATAGTCCCTACCCTTGTGGCCATGTATGGAGACAGGTATCAGCCAATCTCTGCGGGTGCCTTTCCCATGCACTGCCGGATAGGTACGACCACATGCTTGGCCTTTCCTGGGCCAATCACACTCTGCACATGGCACATTTGAATACCATACCTTAAACGCACCTCGATCCATCCTAGTTGGCGAGAAGGGAGGGGCAACATTACCAATAGATTCGGCGTGGAATCCACGGCAAGCGAGAGCTGCCAACCTAGGCGCCCTCCCACAGCGTAGACCCATGATGGCATCCAACTAGAAGGGTGGTAACTATATACAGACGCACTGGCGATGTGCGGCGTGGGAGAATCCGAGCAGATGCTATCTGGATGAAAGAGGGGCAGGGGATGCCTTTGCAGCCATTGCATCGCGATCTCTACCTTAGGTGCGGCGTTTGCTCCGGGATGCATCTGAGGCGGAGGGGTTCCCTGCTTTCTGGTGCAGACCTGACACCATATTCGGGCGAGACAGCGCCCTTTTCTGATTCATTTGGGGATGGCTCTCTTTCTTCCCCTCTTAGTGATTCCTGCTAGTCTCGATCTCCTATCATCCCCACGATTTGTGTTTTTCCTCGCCGTCCTGGCGGTTGGGTGCTGCACTGGTCGGCCAGTCAGTCAGCAGGCAAACAAGCTCCGGGAGGCTCGACGCAGGTAGATCACCCACGTCATAGAACAGATCGGATCGTCTGGCAGTTTCGGCGGCCTCAGCCACATTCTGATTGAGGTAAACCGCCAGAATCACGATTGTAGCAAACAATAAAGCAGCCAACCAGGCCTGCCATCAGCTTCTGCAAACGCACCGCTTTCTTTCTAGTGCCGGCGGCACCTAATTCTCTTCATACCTTTGACCCAGGAAGCTTGGTCAACTACCAACCTAGGCAGTAGTGCCTGACCGGACTGTGCCACAGCTTCCAAGTCGTCACCATCCCCCCAGGCCCCGTTCTCAGCCAGAAATCCTGGCCTGGACGCTGCAAGCTGGGTACTTAACAAACAGGTGCGTCTGGAAGCTATTCCAAAGCCCTCCCGGTCCCTCGGACGATAGTTGACACCCGCCAGCTGCATATAGCCTCACTCTGCCAGTCAACCTACCTACATACCTATCATTGTCATTTCCACCTCGATTCAGACATACCTTACCTATTACTTACCTACAGACCACACCAAACGCTCTCCACTCCTCCACTTGGCACCACGACAGGACCAACACACGCAGCATACCAGCACAGTGTTGCTGGGAACTCGCTTGGGCTGGAGGCTGCTCAGCTGCCCGAGTCTTGTCGCCACTGATTCTGCTGCCTCTCTGTCCACCTGCTCACCAGGCCCGGGGCCTTCGGGGTTTACGGCCATGGGACTGGGACTAGTCACAGCTGGCCGTCGCCGGGCGTCGTCTCTCGTCAGTAAGCACATGGGCATCTCCTTCAATGTCTTATACTGCGATCCTGCTGCGAGCTGCGCATGAACAGCCGTCCCTCCCGCGTCAATTCACCCGCTTCAGGAACAAAGCACCTACGCACACGCATGAGCCTCGAACCGCTGTTGGTCTCTCTGCTCAGCTCAGCTCTGCCGCTCAGCAAGTAGCCTTGCTACAATATATACTTTATTACCTGCAACTTTTCCCCAACCAAAATCGCATCGTCATCCCTCCCCCTCTCCGCTCCCCCAAAACCCAACCGCATCTGCCTAACGGTCCCATCTGCCTGGGACCGGACCTAGCCACCTGCAACGCTGCAGCAGGCGCCCTCCGTCGGCTATCTCCAGCACAGCACCAGCTTACCGTCCCGCCGATCCCTTCAACAAATTCATTTCATCTCCCCTCAAGTTCCTTTTGCGTTGCTCGGCTTGACATCATTGCCTAGTATGAATTAGTCTAGCCCGTTCCGACGCGCGCTCTTTTCTACCTGCGCAACATTTTAGCTGCCCCCGCACACGCACACACCTACGCACACTCGCACAGCAGCAGCAGTCACACTGGCGCATCACTCACTGGGATCATCGCTGTGTGCCTGGCTCTGTTTCTGCCTCTGCCTCTTGTCTCAGTCGCACGCCCTCTGTATCCTTAAACCCATACAAGACACTGCCCCCCGAAGCTGTCCTCCCAAGTGGTAGCCCAGTCCATCACGCAGCCTCAGTCTCAGGCCTCCCCTCCCCCACATCCCTCAGCCAATAGCTACCCCACCTATTCTCAGGCTCTCTGTCGCATCTCTCAAACCGCATCTGCCTCTTCTCATGCCGTTGCACTAGGCAAAGTTCATTTATTTCTATAAAACATCATGCTAACCAACTGGTGGTATCCGCCTGATGAAGGCAATAAATCGTCAGCCCGATCGTCGACAGACGATGGCCGTATTGATCCTGAGGATGACACTCAGCTCATGGAGCCTGACCAGGGCAATGGTGAGCTCTCACCCTTCCCTCCCAAGGCTGTCTAGGTTCAGACAGCCCATACATCCCATGTCATGTTGCGCGCTGAGCTGCATATCCATGCTCACCATCCGGCAGTGCTCTCGCATATCATATCACAGCTGCGCCCGGGGGCAGATTTGAGTCGCGTCGTCCTGCCGACTTTCATCCTTGAGCCTCGGAGTATGCTCGAAAGAATCACCAAGTGCGTCCGTCCGTCATGTGCTGCCTGCGATTTTTCCAAGATGGTTTTGAACCAAGTATATGACCAGTGTTGCTGATTGATTCCAGCTTCATGTGCCACCCTGAAATGCTCCTCCACATCCCCACGATAGACGACCCAGTCGAACGCTTTGTATCCGTAGTCAAGTTCTATCTCAGTGGCTGGCACATCCGCCCACCGTTCGTACAAGCCCGCCCTAGCCGTTGACAAGCTCTGGATTCGCTAACGATTATTGTGACAGAGGTGTGAAGAAGCCGCTGAACCCGATCCTTGGTGAACTATTCACATGCTATTGGAACTTTGAAGACGGCAAGAAGGCCTATTACATCTCTGAGCAAACGTCGCACCACCCACCCAAGTCCAGTTATTTCTACATGGCCCCTGATCATCACATTCGTATCGATGGGACCCTAAAGCCTCGAAGCCGATTTCTCGGAAATTCTGCCGCCAGCTTGATGGAAGGTATCGCTTTCCTTGAACTGCTAAACAGGGGCAAGGACCCCTCAAAAGGAGAGAGATAGTAAGTTCTTCTGCGAGGCACTCGCACAAATATGACTTATTGAGACGGCATTGCTAACCAATTTCCGTATTAGTATCATTACACAGCCCAATATGTATGCTCGAGGTATTCTGTTTGGTAAAATGAAGTATGAGCTTGGAGACCACAGTTTCATCCGATGCCCTGAGCTGGATCTGTCAGTCGACCTCGAGTTCAAGGTCAAGGGCTGGGTTGCAGGAACGTATAACGCTATCGGTGGTGTGATCAAGCGAGAAAGCACAGGCGAGATCCTCTATGAACTGTCCGGGTTATGGAGCGAGGAAATGTTCATCAGGGACATGGCGGCAAGTTCATCTTTTGCAAATGCTTAAATGACCGTCTCACTAACCTGAAATATATAGACCGGTCACAGGGAAATGTTCTTTAACGCTAATAGGTCCAAGCCGAGTCAGCCTCAAGTGCGCCCCGTCGAGGAGCAATGGGATAGAGAGTCTCAAAGACTTTGGAAAAACACGGCCGATGCCGTCAAGGACCGGAACCACGAACTGGCTACGGATGAGAAAACCAAGATTGAGGATCGCCAGCGCGAGGAAGCCGCCCAGAGAGCCCAAGAAGGCGTCGAGTGGCAGCCCAGGCTGTTCCGAAGGATTCACAACGATCCTCACAGTCCAGAAGAAGGCCTGGAGGATTTGGAGTGGATCATTAACGCTGACATGTACGTCCAGAACACCCCCTTGCTCTATTTCATAGCTAACTTATATGACAGCGACTCAACCGCATCTCCTGCGAAACAAGCGGAACAGATTATGGCAATCTACCCGATAGTTGATGGTCAAAAGAGCGTGTTTGAAGATTCAAAACCCGAGGCGATCATCCCAAAGCAGCCCGTCGCAGCAGCAACTAACGATGTAGCACCAAGGCAACCGTCTCAAGAAGACCTGGTGGACTTTGGTCAAAATGAAATTCCAGCGGCCAAGCCAGCCGATACTCCCGTGGAGTCGCCCCAAAAGACGCCCGATGAGATTGAGAAGCTTTTATCCAAGACGGGGAAACCAGCTGAGGGGCCGCTGATTGACTTTACGCAAGACCTGAAGAAGGATTTACCCTCCACTCGCCAAGATCAACCCAATGGCACGAGTAATTAAGGCAAGGTTTCAATTTAATTCATCAATTATCTCTTACCTCCTCTAGCGATATCCTGTATAAACAAGAACTTGTGAGAGGATGCGGCGACTATTCATCCGTTGGGAGACACATGCAGCATGGGCATCAATTAAGCAGGGGCCCTCTCTTGGCGTATTTCATACCTACTAGGGGCAAGAGGGCAAACCGGACGAATCAGGGTATATCACAGGTCAATCAAATGCATGGCAATCGGGTGCGATATGGGTTGGATGGGAAAATTCTTTGTTTTGCTACTGTTTAGAAATCCGCAAAGAGGACCATGATCTGCAACTAGTCAGTCTACCTCGCTTTTCTTCCCAAGATAATGCCCAGCCCTTGAACGCCAATAACAGCCCGATCATACATGAAATCGAAAATTAAGTAAAAAAGTAACAGGACCAAAGTATGTCATCGTCTTCTTCGGCTCGACACCCTAGTATCTCCGCCTCGTGGGCTCGGGGGTGGGCGACCGGCTCACGCTGCGCTCGTCGCGCCCGCGCATCTTGAGCCACTTCTTGGTGCTGAGGGTGAGCTCGCGGTCGAGCTCGTCGCTGGGGTTCTTGCGGTGGATGAAGTTGCAGAAGCCGCCGCGGACGCAGCCCTCGCCCGAGTTGAGGCGGCAGCACGCCTCGCGGAAGTCGGTGACGGGGCTGAGCTCGCAGTAGATGGGGCGGGCGGCGTACCACCGGCTGTTGAGCTCGTCGCAGGCCTTCTGGGCCGACTCCTCGTACTTGAATCGCGCGTACACGTTTCCGATCAGGTCTGGAGAATGGTCAAGTTAGCAATCAGGTCAAGATTGGGGGATTGGTGGGGATTGGTTGAGAACGCACGGTCATTGTTGTTGTCGCAGACGACGAGCTCCTCGAGCTCGCCGTACTTGCAGAGCTCGCACCAGATGTCCTCGTAGAAGGCGTCGAAGTGGTTCTGCAGCTGGGAGGGGTTCATGCGGTTCTTGGGGTCGTAGGCCGGGTTCTGGTAGAGGTTGGGCATGAGGATGGTCTGGCTGTAGGACGGCTTGACGTGTTTTCTGGAGCAGCGGTCGCCGTGGCGGCAGGCGCCGATTTTCTAGATTTGTCGCGACTCTGGTTAGCTTTACAAGAATTCTAAACGAGACGGAAAAGCGCGCTCCTTAGAAGGGGAGAGAAGGGAAAACGCAGGATGAATTGAAGCATGGGAGTTTGAGCTTACAAAATAGAAGGAGCAATTGACCTTGTCAAGCTCGGTACCGAAAATGGAGGCGAGGAAACTGGCCATTGTGAGATATGTCTGGGTTTATTGTGGGAAGTGTGGTGATGATGGTTTGTGGTGGTGTTGAGCTGGTGCTTCCCCGGATGTGGTGTTGGATAAATAAATTGATGGCCTCGAGGAAAGATGCGACGCATTACTTCTGCATGTAGCCTTGCGCCACAGATGGAGCTAGGTGAGGCTGGGGTCACGTGGGGTGTGGCTGAATCAGCTCTTCCTAGGTAGATATCTAGGCGTTTCTACAAGCCGCAGGGGCCGAGGACTTGACTAAAGTAGTTTTCACATGAAAAAGATTCATAAAAATCTATAACTGGGATTGTAGCTTATGAAAACATGAATCAATACACTCATCCAACCATTCCGCCATGTGCAGCGAGAAGCTGATGATCGTGAGAGCTCGTCTCAGAAACTGATTGATCGGTTGACTGACAATCTGAGGCGCGTTGGGGTTGTTTTAGGCACGGACCACCTGGAGGAACCCCTAATTCGACCTAATCTGATAAAACGGCCAGGGGTATGCATGCAATCATTTATCGGCAGCAGCCAAGGTAGGGCCAGCCCAGGAAACAGCCGTTGAATGGGGAAGACACCACCAGCTTCCAGGTTGCGACACTGGCTTTATGAGCCCAACCCTAACGATCCAAAGGCGATGAAGTCGCCGTCATAATCAAAAGATTCTAAGCCTCACCCCACGGCTTCTACAGTCACGATGGACCAAGCAGATATCCCAGCGCTCCTGTCGCGTCTAGCGAGCGAAGAAGATGCGTCACGGAAAATGGCCGTCTTCAAGCTCCAGAGCTCAATCAACGACCCATCCTTCGCCGACGTCTTTATATCCTCGGGCGGCCTTGCCGTGCTGCGACGACTGATCATGACCTCGAACGGAAACACACTCGCCTACTCGCTGCAGAGCCTGACGCGGCTTCTCGAGGTGGATATGGGGTGGGACATCTTTGAGGGGCCAACATCGAGCGACCTCGTAGAACGGATCGTGGAATTGATTGTGAAGAACCCCCTCGTTAATATTCTGAGGGGTGCCATGTCGATCCTCGTGTCTCTGGTGGGCCATTCGCAGTCGCAGGGGCGGGCCAGCTCCGTGCCGACGACGAACGTCTATGGCTTCAGGGCACTGAAGCCTGCCGTTGCTGTGTATCCCCAATTCTTCGAGCTGGTAATACAGCAGCTTCAGAGTGCGGACCACGCCCTCTGTGCGAATGCGCTCATGCTGATCAATGCCCTGATTCGCGATGCCTTGTCGGGCAACAGCTCCACCGAACCAAGCTCGCCACAGGTGCAATCCAACGGGGCGGACGGCGAGGACTGGTCGAGCCGCATCAAACTTCTGCAGGATCTGGGACTTATCAAGGCTGTGTTCAATCTTATGAGGAGCTCCGCCTTGCAGGACCTGGCGCTTCCGCTGCTGGAATTTCAATCTTTGACCAAGGTTCTGTTGAAACGGTGGAGGAGCGTCAAGGTGGATGTAGAGCGGACAGAGCATCGACGTGCGCTCAAGGGTCTTCATCTTGCAAGCGCACCCGAGCGAGTTAATGGGCATTCAAAGGAGGATTCTGGTGGACCGATCCGCAAAGGAAGCAAACGCCACAATCCGGAGAAGTGGAGGAGGCTCGGCTTTGAGACGGAGAGCCCCAGCCATGAGTTTGAGCTGGCTGGGTACCTGGGTCTTATGGATCTGGCAGATTATGTCCGAAGATATGAAGATGAATTTCAAAAACTACTACTTGAGCAGGCTTCGAAACCGTTTTCAGAGCGACTGCCGCTTGCTCGCGCCAGTCTGGCGGTTACTATGATTCTGTATGATCATTTTGACGTCGGTGGGGTCGACTTGGAAGACACACGAACACTACAGACGATTGATAGGACAGACTACGAAAGGTTGTTCCGACCGTTGTTGCTGCAGTGGTCGCGGGTGCATGCAGCTGGCCTCCATGGATTCTTCCGCGTATGGAAGGCCACAGGTGCAACGCAGGAGGACTTCGACAAGGTTGCCGAGCTGGCTCGCCTGCTGATCGAGCAAGTGGTTGGCCAGGCTACACGGAGCATAGAAGTGCAGGAAGCCGAGGAGGAGATGCTGGAGTACGACGTTCCACGACTCCGCGACCTGCAGATGAGCCTGCTTGACTTCTCCTTTGAAGAGAAGTGGGGGAAGCACCTGTACCAGGCGAGGGAGGAACTCAAGCAGGAGGCACTGCAGTTCGTCAAAGAGCAGCGGGTGAGGTGTCTTCTCGAAGGCTCATGGTTTTTGCGGCCTACAGCCAGGGCCATGCCGTGGCGGTTCGCCAAGCTGTCCTATAATCGGCGGTACCTACACTACGCAGACTTCGAAACCCAACCGGAGAGAAACCCAAAGTTGGGGAACATGCCAGAAAAGATTGCGCTCAACACCATCAGCTCCGTTGTCTCCAACATCTCAGCGTCACCCGAGGATGAGATTAAAAGCAGTGCCAGCGAGTCTAACTTGTCGAGGAGTACTCTCGTTCTTAATGTACCCAAACCAACAACTAAGATTACAATACTCAGCTTCACGAGCCCAGCCGAAGCGGAGAAAGGCTCCGAAGGCAAGGAGCAAGCGCTTCTCAGTCTATGGCCACTTGACCACAGCCTCGCATCTGAGTGGCTCGACGGATTACTCATGCTGCTAAAGCAGGCACCCATTACAGCTGAAACAAACAAGTTGGTGAACCTCGTGAGCGAGTACGGGCTCAAAATCCGGTTGCTCAATGTGAGGAAGGAAACTGCATTTGAAGGCCCGCCGCCCGGGGCTGGCGTGATACCGAGCAGACAAGGCGTGGATGAGGACTATTTCTTCGAAATTTAAGACCCAAACATGCCTAGATTTCCATCGAGGACAGTGGCGAGTGTTTCGACAATGCAGAAGAGCAGTGGTGAGCAATTGGTTTTCTTTTTCTTGTAGTTATTTACTATTACATATCTATTCTGGTTTCACATGTACCCTGCTGCGGCGCTGAGCGAAAAGGGAAGCTAGCGGGCGGCGGTACTACAATAATGGCTTGATGGACGCATGGACGAATGGTTAGATGCATAGCGCGCAGGATCTCTTGACGTTGGGCAGAGGTCGGATGGAGCTGGGTGGGTAGAAGAGGCATTGATAAGGCAATGAAGTGGACATGCTAGCATATAATGCAATGACTGCGCATCAGCTTGCCGTATCAATTCAAGACACATATGATACTGTCATGCTCAGGTGGAAAAAGTACTGCGAGAGAAGGCCGTCAGCGCCCAATCGTCGCGCCAATCACCAATGCGATGGAGATGGTGGAGCGTCTTGGCCCCAGAGTGAGACGTGTGTTGTGATGCACGTCGAGCAAAGTTGACAAATCCTGAGAGGAGGAGCAGTTCGGCCCGTGACGGAGCATGAATATGAATACATGTCCTATGCATCTCCATGCATGATTATAGCCGTCAGTCTGAAGTGAGGGGCACCAACTACCTAGTAACTGCTGATATTGCTTCCGAGGTTCGTGAATTGTGCATTTGCCAGCAGAACTAAGCTCAACTACCTTACCTTAGCTTAGCTCACGGCAGTATTTTCCTACTTGGACAAGAGGTCTTGCCCAAGATGCGGTGATCAACCGCGGGCGAAGGCAACCTTGTGTTAAGGCGGTGTACAGGGATGTGCCGATGCATGAGCCGGGGGAGCTGGACCGCCGCCCAGAGACGAGGCAGAGGCACGTATCGAACTGAGAACAGAACACATTGCACGTAGCTCTTCTGGTGACGGATGTGCTGACTTGGCTGGCATCCACTGCCTGGCTTGCTGCATGCGTGCATACGCGGCTGGGGAAAACGGGGTGGTGGCCAGTTGGATCATGGGCAGATGCGTGCTTGCCCACCGACCGATTTTAATATGGGAACATTGAGCGGTCGGTAGGATGGAAGGTGCGAGTGTGTGTGCAATACCACTAATACGTCTATACCTACCTCCATTGCGAGCCGTCCATTTTTTTTTCTTTTCGTCTCCTCCTCGTAGTCTTCTTAAACCCGTCTGCCCGCTCTTCTGACTTCTTCCACCTTCCCTCCACCTCTCCCCTCCCTCTTCCTTATCCCCCTCCTCTCCAATTCGCCGCGGGTGGTTTGCGGTTTACATCCCTCCGAATGGGGAGCTCATTGGGCGAGTGATTGCTCCACCTAAGCATCACTCTGACTGTCCCTGCTGCAATTGCTCCTCCTCTGAGCACGGATTTAGCAGCGGGGGCTGAAATATTATTAAGTTTCGCCGAAGCTCCTTATCGATAGGAGATTCTCACAGGCGGAATCGAAGGCGCTCTAATTTCGCGTTCAGGCAGCTGTCAGATCCGGAGAGGCCAGATTAGTAGTGGTAGAGGTACCCGCTTGCGCACACGCACGCCATAGTGTACTTTCAGCTCCCCCTGGACGATCAGAGGCCAGGCCAATCTATTCTTAACAACATTGAGGACAGGGAGTCCCTCAGAAAAAAAGCGTCACTCACCACCCCTTTTGGTAAGATAACTATTTTATCATCTACTCCCCTGTTTTGCATCGCGCACATCTCGTACCCGTCCTTCCCTTAGGCATCAATCTTTTTGCTTTCGGCTACAAAAGCCACAAACGCATAATAATTGGTATGGCTTGCCTTCGTCACCGGCTTCGCGGCCGTGCTTACCTGCTGCCTGGGTGTTGCCCGCACCATCATCCCTCTCATACAAGACATTCCTCTATTACCCAAGACACTCGAAGCCACACGCCTCTCCTCGATCGAGCCGCGCGTCATAAATAGTTGCTAACCAGGTCTTAATTAGCTTTCCCTTCTGCTCGACAGCAAGAATTTCGTTTGCTATTAGCGTAATATCCTAGTCGTCCCCGAAACACATCTCGAGAGACTGTCCTCGCAACTCCTATCACTCTTTCAAGGATAATAAATCAGCAATACGATCACCATGGCCAGCATTTCGATCCCCATCGACAGCATCACCTCGAGGTTCAACTTCGCTGAGCGTCTCCAGGGCTTCAATCCCAGCGCTCTCTCGACCAAGTTTGGTGGACTCCGTCCCATTAGCGAGTTCCTTGACTTCAAGCGTCTCGCCAAGCCCGCCGACTTTAGTGATGCTCAGTCGCGTGCCAACTACAACTTGAGTCACTACTCGAGCAATTACCTTGCTGTTTTCATCATCCTGAGCATCTATGCTCTCATTACCAACCTTACCCTACTCTTTGTTATTATCCTGGTTGTTGCTGGTAGATATTTGATTGGCCTTCTCAATGGCCAGGATCTTGTCATCGGCAACTTCCGCGCTACAACTTCTCAACTCTACACCGGTCTCTTCGTCGTTGCCATCCCACTAGGTCTCTTTGCCAGTCCTATCGGAACTGCTCTGTGGCTTGTGGGTGCTTCTGGCGCTACGATTCTCGGTCATGCTATTTTCATGGAAAAGCCAATCGATGAGGCTTTTTCCGGGGAGGCGGTCTAGGTGGTCGGCCGCGAGCTCCCGAATTTGCGCCCCCATGGGGAAGACCATCGAGGCGCGGTCGGAGGAGAGGAGGTGGGGATGCTGCGCACCTCGGGTCCTGGGATGGTGAGACCAGGGTCCGAGAATTGGAAACAGATGAGGAAGATTCGGACACTCAAGGAGGAGGGCTCGTGTTGCGGCGCGGCACGCGCTTCATCAGTGACTCGCTCCAGTTTACAGGGACTGATTTGGGGGATAGAAATGGTGCTCTGCGACAGAGGATGGGTCAAGGAGGATCAGGGAGTGAGGATGACTCTTCTGACAGTGATGGGCCTGACATTGATGAAATGGATCTGGCTCTGATGTCTTCTATGGAGAAGGAAGAGTTTCTGTATCAGTCGGCCATGGCACGTATCCAGCGAGCTCGGGAGAGAGGGTTGACAGATGTCAATCTCTCCAAGCTTGAGCTTGATGCATTGGAAAGGAGGAGGGAACGCGAAGCAGAGGAGGCTGAGAGACGGGCACGCAAAAAGAGAAGGGAGCAGCGTGTTGCTATCCCTTTGACCCAACTGGATCCCGTCTCGAAGAAGAGATCTGGGAGCAAATCACAGTTGTCATCGCGACATCAATCTGCGACCGACTTAACAGATGCTACAGACCGCCGCGCCCTACCGCCTGTTGGCCACTTTCCTCCGCCTGCAGGCTTGCGAGCACGACCGCGGTCGGGCACGGCCAGCTCTCAACGGCCGCTTACTATAGGCTACGATGACCAGTATGAGCAATCAGAACGCCCAGGTTCGAGACAGGCCTCTGATTCGTTATCACGATCTCGCTCCTCGAAATATTATGATGACGGCGCTGCGTCATCCTCGTCAGGTGGTCGAACAGCACTTGATCCGTTTAAGTTTCAGACAGAGGGTCCGCGCGCGTCGCGTTCGTCTGGCGCTTCGACCGCCTCGAAACGACACACGATGCCGCCAGAGTCTCCGTACAGGACGAGATCTGGTAGGACCAGAGGCGCCGTTAAAAGAACGCCAAGCTCAGACGAAACCAGCGAGGAAGGAAATGCCGCAAGTGACGAAAGCACCGACGATTATGACAGTGGAGCGCGAGTTAAACAATCTCCTCCAGCTCGTCAGGAAGCGATTGTAGTGGAAGACTCACCGGAGCCCGAACCTTCAAAGAAGAAAAGCCCATCACCAACTAAGCGAAAGCCAGTTGCCAGCAGAGTGCGGAGGGGTAAAAAGAAATGAGTGGTGGTGGCGGAGGGAGCAAACGTTGCAGAGGTCCGCGCCTCTATTTTGATATATTGATACCTACCAGTGCCCATTGGCATCTGGTTACTTTGCCTCGCATAATTAGATTTTGTATACTTATTTCTCTCCTAATGGCTTTGAGAAGGCATCTACTTTGGAGCAAGGCTGCGCAAGAGTTGGCTGCAGACGTGATATTCTACCGCCAAATTCCATCTGTCGTGCAACATAAAGACAGGCACTTGGCTTAACCTGGTAATATCTGAAAAGGAGCCTCGGTCGGCTCATCCCGTAGACCCTGGACTGGCTGGGATAGACTGCTGCGAAGTACTCAATACTTCGAGTTACACACGATTTAATTCTGCCAAGAAGTAGAGAATACTTTTAGACCCCCACCCCCTACGTGCGATACTCCCATAAACTCAAGCTTGCGGAAGCTTGTGAGTAACCTCCTCCCATTCTATCCGAGATACTACATCGCGTTGGCGTTTAGTTTAATCCTAATCGCGCCAGTCGAACTCATTACCGTCGTGAGGAAGACGCCTCTCCCCGATCACATCAATTAACCTGCACGGCCCAACACAGACCAATCACCCTCCAATGTCGTCCAACTCAGCTGCGGCTGGAGCTGCGTCCTCTCGAACCGCAACTAAGCGACTACTCAAAGAGCTGGATACCTGGCGGGAGGAGCAAAAGGAGGAAAAGGGCATCGAGAGGCTGGGTCCATCCAGGGACGAGGACCTGTACCTATGGGAGGCCGTCATCAATGGTAATGGTATTGGCAGCGGCTACGACGGTAAGAGATGCCCATCCATCCCTATCCCATCTACGCGCCCCAACCTCAGCCGGAATCTTTCGCGGCAACGGGCTCCTTGTTCGATCTCTCCCTAACCCGAAATCTCTCTTATAGCCGGCCGATGGCTGCTGACCATCTCCATCCCGTCGACATACCCGCTCCATGCGCCCAAGATCCAGTTCGTCACGCCGATACTGCACCCCAACATCGCCCCCGACACCGGCGAGATCTGCCTCGACCTCCTCAAGGACGCGTGGACGCCCGCGTACAGCGTCCTCGAGTCCGTCCGCGCCGTGCGCATGCTCCTCAGCTGCCCGGAGACGGACAGCCCGCTCAACGTCGACCTCGCCGCCCTGGTGAGGAACGGCGACACGGTCGGCGCCAGGAGGCTGGTCGAGTTCTGGTGCTCGGATGAGAGCAGTAGGTACAATGGACAATAAGGCGGCGGAGCTCCCGGGGGGGGCTGATGCTCGGGAAGCCAGACGAGGATGGATTTTGGGGGGGTTGCGTGTGGTGTGCGCACAGTGTCTTTGCGGTTCCCTTTGTAGCCGGGAGTTGAGCGTTTTCTGTTGTAGTAAGGATGAAGGATAACTTAATTGTTGCTGGGAGGAGGAAAGGAGAGATTGTACGACCCCGATTTACTGAATGAAATGATACCATATAGCCATCTTGTTAGAATACAAGAAAATGACACCTCTGGATGTATCAACGATCAATTATTGAGGAGCCAGGACCAGCAGTTCGGTGTTAAGTACTAACAGAGAGAGAACCGCACACGACGTGCATGGAGAGGATATGTGGCCTCGAGAAAGGACAATCGACCGTCTCGTGGCCATTTTTCTACCAGTTATTCAAACATACAAGGACATGCAGAAACACCTCGTCCCGCTCCTTGAGACGTTTCGAACCAGCAAGAGAAGGCTCGAGCAATCGAACCTCCGCTTGGCATGGTACTTCAAACAAAGAAGAAGGTTTATGGGTATGGAAAGACTCCCGAGCGCCAATTCTATCTATTGATGGCCATATTAACAGCATTGGGGGTTGGCCAGGGCGGCAACCCGACAAGATATAATTCCTAGTACGTCTCTCAAGTCCCAAATGCGAGTGAATAGAATTTAATCACATCCAGTGCCCAAAATGTTCGGGTCCAGGTCATTCTTCAGAATAGTCTGAAGAAGGTTCGGGCTTTACACAGGCCTCATAGTAACAAGCTTCTAGGTTTCTACCAAGCTGAGGGGGCTGGAGGAGCTCTACCATATACTAACGATTCGAATTTCCATATAGAACCAATAGAGGACCTTGGAACTGCGATTGCAACAGAAACTGACGGAGAAGCTGCGGATAGAAGTACTTCTTTATGTGAAACTACACTTACTCACTTAGCTGTAGTGCGCTACCATTCGTCTGGCGAAAATGATGACGAGACTGTCTCTCCAGGACAAGCTGAGGAGATCAACCGGCAGGTCGAGCCAGTCCTTGACGAAAGCGTCAAGAGCATCCTCAATACCGATATTGAAGATATTCCTTTTGAGACACTCTTCGTGTGAAAGTAGTTTGGTGCGACTGATAACCTAGATTCCGGTTGGTTTAGGTATTGGATATGGAGTCCTACATGACTCAACGCGCTCCTCCTGAGAGCCATGGCAATTAAAGTCAAAGAGATAGTTCTACATCAGCCTCTAGCCAACGTCCTAGGAAACAAGGCGATCAACACCAAAGAGCTAATTGGACATCAGATTTATCGACTTGTAACTTGGGTGATGACTCAGTTATAGTTTCCCGCTCAGATAAGTTGCGTTGTAGGTTTCATGTGAAACAGTCAAACAGCAGCATCTACATCGCCGCTTGAGATTGAATGTACATGACAATCAAGAGTTGGATCGGCTGCCGCGCCTATCGGCTTTAACCAATTCTATGGGGCAGCATGGCTTGCGCATCATGAGAACAACATTAATATCAGTCGGGATAACACGATCTCGTTCAACTAGCTGATAGTGTGTTAGACAAAGAATCAAGGTCGCGGAGGTAACGCATCCTTCACGATGTGGTTTTAATTGGAAATATGTGGCAGCACGGAGATATTGGATATGGTCATACAAACACTGGGAACATGATGAATAAAAAAATAAAATAAAACCTAAAAGCACATGAAAACAAGTTCCCCCGGTGTACGCCAATGAATCCACCATCGGGAGCGATGGAATGGTGCTCGTGATGTTTAAGTGGATTACTGTACAGAAAGAACGCCGCGCAGAATTCAACCACGGGATCTATATGATGGCTGCCAAGCATAATCCAGCTGGTGGCCTGTCCAGCCGTGCTCGCTTTTAATGGGGAATTGGATGTGGGCTGTCAAGCATGAGTCTAGCAACAGCAGTAAATAGATCGTGAGTGCCGCAATTCAGAAGCTAGATAGCAAGTATTGGGGCATGCCGCTCATTCATTGTAATGATACACCTAGAACACACAGTTACCAAAGATTGTTCTTTCCGATCAAGGGTTAACGGTCACTCACCTTATAGTTTGGCAAACCATATGGTTGCCACCCCAATCGCTTGGCCATCTTGGCAAAGCCTTCAGTTTCAATGAGATGGTAAAAGGCGAAGGGAGGGAACATGGCCCCGTCACGGTGCACGTCTGCTCGGACGAGCAAGGCTGTGCCACCAACTCCGTCAAGGGGAACAACTGTATCCTTCTCAGAAGGATTCGTGGCCATGTAAGCCATCAGTAGTCGGTATGTGGCCATCTCAGCATACCCCTCGAGGAGAATATCGTCAGGGCCCATTGCAGCGCCGAGCTTCTGTGCGACGTCGCTATCCTGCCAACTGTTGAAGTCGTATGGCCGCTCGGCCATGCTCTTGGTCTCGGCGTCGTAGTACCTTTGGAAGCAATTGGCCACAATTACAGGCTTAGAGTATCCCGCCAGGTCCTGGATCAATGAAGGCGGTGTCTCCACAATATCGCTGTCCAGCCAGAGAACCCACGATGTGGCAGGTCCCAGGGTGGTGAAGAGGAGCGAGTTGCGCGCCTTTGACATGTCCTCTCGTCTGGCCTTCTGGTTGGCCATCTTGTGGCGCTCGCTCTCGTCCTGGGATGACAGCGATGGCTCGAAATCCTGGCGCAGGATGATGATGCTCTTGAAGCGGTCCTTCTCGGGACCTTGCTTCTGGGTCTTCTGGATCTGTTGCTGCAACAGTGCGGTGGCCGCATTTCCGTCCTTCGACTTGGGCAATATGAAGCCCAGGGTGATGAGTCCGTGGGGGTAGCTGAGTTTGAGAAGATTGTCCCAGTACTCCTGATAGAACCTGGCCATGGGAGTCAGGATCAGGACGTGCTCCTGGTTGCCAATCGGGTCGGCCGTGATGGTGACATTATTGAGGTTGTAACGGGTAACAGGCGGGGGGCCAAGCTCGACAGCAGCGTCCGATTTAGGTTTGCGATACGGTGATGTCGGAGGGGAGAGGTGATGCCGGGCGCTGTCTACAACAACTCGGGTGGTGCTGCTCGGGGTGGAGGAAGGCGAGATGAGGAAGTAGAGAATGAATATGCAGAGGACGACGCCCAGTAAGAGAGTCAATGGGTTCGCCTTCTTTAGGCGAACCGACCCCATGGGTCGAGCCATGGAGGCAGCTGTCGGACTGGTTCCGTTTTCGAGAGTCGTCGGGTACGTAAGTAGGCGATGCGATTGATGGTGGATAGGAGGGACAGATGGGGCGGAGTGAAAAGACGATAAGATATCAAAGGGACAGGAGCATGGGAAGACAAGAACGAAAAAGAAAAAACCTCGCGCCCGTGAACACGGAAGTGGGCTGGAGGGGCTGAAGGGGAAAAGGAAGCGAAGCCGTGTGGCGTCGTGGTGAAGATAATGTAACTTTTGGCGAATATCGGATTGAGATCCAGGGATCCGTGTCTGCTAACAAGGGGCACCTACCCCGTACCTGCATCCACTGAAGCATCACGGGCTAAGAATATCTGTCCAGTATCGTCACAACGTCAATTAAGCTGGGATCCACTCTTGCTCCTTCGGCCACGCCGCTTTTAGCATCAGCAGATTGACGCGATATGATATACAAAGCGACACACTTCATTACACTGTTTTTCCTATAAACCACTTTGAGTATATATACATGCGCCACTGGTATGCAACCGTAAAGCATGCTGCAGGCCGATCCGAACCTACGAGCCGTGGCAAAAACATGCTGACTTTGAGGCACCTTAAGCAGCTAACTCCTTAGGTAGTACTAACCTAGCGAACTGGGTTACAGATACAGCATCATCTCTAGCAGCAGTCTTACAAAACCTGCCAACACTCTAATGTTCTTTTTCTCGCATATTAGGAGCTATCGCGGCCATTAGAATAACAATTGGATAAGTAGCCCTGTGACGTTCCAATCAATCACTAGCTTGTGCGGCCCTTTTTCCAAGTCGCCTGATGCATGTAGTTTCTGCTGTGGTAAATACTCTACAGCAAGACCCAAATTTCGGGGTTTCCCTTTTCTAGGAGGCTCCTGGGTATTTGGTCGCCCACGGTTAGAGATACTACATGTATATTTCGGAGGAGAAATAATAAGGCATATATCAATCGACGTCTAAGTCATCTCGTGAAATCATTAATGCCAACGATCTGGCTTGTGGGTTGCAAAAGCGGCGGGGATTCATTTCAGAGGAGCGAGTTTCAGCGCCTGTTGGCTCCCTCTAGTGGCCTGGCTGTCAAATGCAGGTCCAACTTACAGCCAACCCTACATCAATGGCCTTGATCCATCAAGTCAGCAAATGAGCACCTAGATAGATATCAAAAGGCCTTTTGTACTAGATTTATCTCACATTGGTGAAATACTCGTACGATAATACATGTCGTGTGATTCGCACATTCTGCTGTCGCTAAACGTTGATTCTGATATACTTCTGTGCTGTTGTCTTCAAGACGAACCCAAGAACGCAATTTCAAATCCATTGGAGCACGTATCACCGAATTCCAATTATTCGAGGCATTTCGGCGCTGCCTAATAGTCTGACCTTGAACAGACGCTGGTCCCAGACCTGCCAACTTTCTATTGCAACATGAACTCCATATCTCCTGAGTATGTTTCTGTTCTCGAGCTGAAAGATCGAGAAAGGGTATTAACAAAGCCGGGGGCGATCCTTGCAGACCCGACCGGGTTGTCCTTCGTCCTGGGACAACCCATGATGTGCCGGCGATGGCGCGGCTTATGGATCTTGCCGTAGAATGGCTTGTTAAGCGGGGGATAACTGGACAATGGGGTACACAGCGGCCTTCGGAAGTCTCAGACCGCATAAAGCAAATAACCAGCTTCGCAGAGTCGGGCGGCTTATGGGTCGCAGTAGATAGTCAATTCTCCGGCGCCGAGGGCAGCAATGCAGCAAAGGATGTGGCTGGGGACAATGGGTCCAGCTCCGTGCCAGGAGGCGTGGTCGGGGCCATTGCGGTTGGAGATGCGACTCCGTATGTCAAACCGGCGGAGGAGCCCGAGTTATACATCCAGGCCTTCATAACCCACCGGTCTTGGGCGGGACACGGCATCGGAGCAATCTTGCTGGCCAAGGCACGCCAACTTGCACGCGATGCTGGTGTTTCGGTGATTCGAGTGGACTGTTACAGGGGAGAAGACGGCAAGCTTGTCAAGTACTACGAATCGCAAGGCTTTGTGAAAACGGAAGAGTTTCAAGTTCACGGCTGGCCTGGGCAAGTTCTGATGCAGCGACTGGATTGAAACCCAAGGCTGGCACCCAGCTTCTAAATAGGCACCATTTCTTCCAGTCGATCAATTTTGTTCACGTGAGAACATAAAATGACAGATCAACTTCGATTTCTCTCACTTGCCTGGCATTTCCTTTTTGTGGCTTTGCCCTACGAAGTACCAAAGCCACTGGTAGTAACCACGAATGAAGATGGTTGATGATGCATCATGTTTCATATCACACCGAGGCGTGTTGGAGAAGTCCACCTCGCTAATAATAACCACAGAGGCCCCACCTGGCCTTCCAGAGCGTTGACCCATAGGCAGGTGCCCCCTGCAGAAAGCGTGTACCAAGACGCGATAGGCTCCTTAGTCCAGAGAAATGCACGAATCAATTGGCTGGTGCCTCAGCGGTTCTTTTCTACCTATGTAATCTTACCGGTCAGTCCCAACAGCTTGACAACATCGTTTGCCAACGCCTCGAATTCTGCCTCACGTCGCCGACTTGCCGTCAGCTTCACTCGCAAAGTGCACGATTACGCGAATCGAGTCGCCTGCTCATTTATATCGATACGTCGCCGACCAGATCGACTCGAGAAAACTCAGCGTTGTCTTGGTGATTTATCGCCCGTCATGGCATCCAGCAATAAGATGGACCGTGGTCTTGACGAGATCATTGCCGATAACGTAAGGATCATCCACTACAACCCGGTTCGAATTCTCCATGCATTGGGACTGACGACTCATTCTTCCTTCAGCGCAGCAGTGGCCCTCGCAATAGGCGCAATGGCGGCGGTCCAACTGGTCGCCGTCGCGGTGGCGATCGTCAAGAGACTCCCCGAGACGGAGTAAGAAAGGTCAGAGAGGAAACAGCCCCGAGCGCATCATCTGCTTCCTGTATATCCACTATGTTCGTTTCTAACATGCAGCATTCAGGTTGCACACTCCTCCCTCTAGCCTCACTCTTTGTTGGCGCCGGCACTTCGTCCTTCACGGCCTCTCGATCAGTACTCGGAGCGGTGAAGCGTCTCGACATGTGCCTCGCTCTATATCGATATCCTGGCTGACTCGACTCTCCTACCATCCTACAGTCTTACCGAAACGAACCCAGGAATCTCGATGGGTGAGTAAATCTCTGCACTGGAACCTTCTTTTTGTTCAGCGAGCTAATAGCGACCAGGGAATGGGTTCATGACCGATACGAAGAGAACAGTAGTCAGCCATCCCAACATCCGACTCCTACCATTTGCACCGACTTATTTTTCTACCAGGTTATCGCAAAGCTCCTGCTCCTCGTCGCCGCCAAGCATCTCCCGAAGCTGAAGCTCCAGGGAGTAAGCTTCGAGTGGAAAATGTCCATTATGATCTTACCCAGGACGACCTTGAGGTATGATGCCAGATCCCGAACTCTCCAAGGGAAATTGTGGCATTTTGACTGACTGGCGGTTTATCAGGAACTCTTCAAGCGTATTGGGCCTGTCACAAAGCTGCAACTTCGATATGACCGTGCCGGACGGTCAGACGGGGTCGCGTTCGTGACCTACGAGACCAAGGCGGACGCTGAGCAGGCAATTCGCGAGTTCGATGGAGCAAACGCGAATGGTAACTTGTCCATCGATGCATCCCCCAGTCTTCTTGTCTAACTTTGTCCAGGACAACCGATTCGCTTGACGTTGCTTTCTGAGCGCCGGGGTCGCAACCCATTCGACTCCGCCTACATGCCTGGCCGACCTCTATCGGAGAGAGTCACAGCACCAGACGGCCGAGCTCGGTCCCAATCTCCCCAAGGGAGATACTCGAGAGAAGATGCGGCTCGAAGGGGTATTGATAGGTACATTCCCGGCCAAGGATCTGGAAACAGGTCAAGAAGCCCAGCTCCCAGACGTGGTGGACGCCGCCCCGGTGCCCGCCGCGAGCCTGGTCAAGGTCAGGGTCAGGGTCGCGGGAGAGAAGGTGGCCGCGAGGCTCGTGGTAACGCACGCTCCAAGAAAACCCAAGAAGAGCTCGACGCAGAAATGGCGGACTACTTCGGGGGAAACGGCGACGCTGCGCCAGAGGCTGCCCAGAGCAATGGGAATGCCGATGCTACTCAGAACACTGCTCAGGCTGCCCAAGTGTCAGCAGAGGACATCGACATGATTGAGTAGTTGGCTTGCAGCAAGATGCGGTGTGTGGAAAATTTTCCTGGGTAATAAAGAAGCGGTATAAGACTTTGCCAGGTCATCATTCCGGGAACAATACGCACCCTAGCTTTGGCAGTTTCACACACGAATGTAATTTGGGCTCGTCGGTTCTCTTTGTTTGCATCTTTTTCCTTCCATTTTGTTGGGTTGTGGTCGGCTAGTAAAATACATCAATAAGAGGTCGGCATTTTCCTCACATCTGGTTCTTGTCATATGTATGTCCTTTTTGGTTCTTCTGTACAATTTCAATCATACTCTCTCATCTATGCTCAGGCAACGAAGGCGGGACCTTGAAACCACTCGCTTCCGGCTCCAAAATACACGTTGAATTTGTGTTACTCAAACAGGTTGGATTGTCTTCTAAACGAAAAGAAAGGAAGAAGAAAAAGGAGGAGAAGAAAGAACCAAAACTTGGCCACTAAACAGGCTATGCGTGCGGGTTGATATTCATTGGATCATACCTTATGCTAAGTAGATTAAGAATGTCGCTGGGCGAAGGAGGAGGGGGGGTCTCATAATGTTACCGTTGGCATCCCGAATAGCAACAGAATGTGGGACAACATTCGAGCTATCTGACTTCTAGTTTCAAATCCAGCTCTGAGACCTTATAGCAAAGGAAATAAGATTATTTCGGTATACTGAATTACCTAGTCACCGTAAGTGGGTTGCCTGTAGTAACCTTTATTCCCCTGTGCATAGGGTAACACTGCCAGCCTCAACATCCCGAAATACCCTATAGCATCTTAATATGGGTTACTGGAGATTAGAGACTTGGAAGATCTAAACTCCGAAGCTCACGCTTACTACCCAAAAATAGACCAAACAACGGTAAATGTTTCAAGTCTGGAATGTAGGTCATTCACCGGCATTCTCTATTGTGTCTCCTCATTTGTATCTAGAAGCCTCCTTTCCTCGCCGTGGTAAGGCGAATATTGGATCACATAGTTGCAACAGACCTGCGCACAATCCTCATAACCTTATTATGGAGTGCACCCCTACATTTGCCACGAAGACATGATGTAAGCAAGGCCCACTAGATATGGACGTAACCCCAGCTGTGCCTAAACCAGCCTTGCCAGCGTGCCAGGGACAGAAGCTGGTAAAAGCTCGGAACCGAACACGGCATCGACAGAACAGGAAATATGGCGCCTGATCAATACGGCAGTTGAGATTACGTGCGGTACCTGCATTTGGCACAGAAGTCCCAATGCGATCCATGGCTTGCATTAGAAGGTTAACCATACCGGCTTCAAAGCAAAATTCAAAGCAAAATTCTCGCCATCAACAAACCAAAAGACGGTCTGGCTTTTCAAGGAGGGAGGCCGCTGGGAGAATCCCAATTACCCAGCTGAACGTGCAGTCTGTCATCGGGTTATACGGGGTTTTGGCGACCCCCGCGGCATTCTCCGCTCGAGGTCAACAAACCCAGCCTGCGATGGCAACAGCCAACAATCACAGGGGAAAGCTACCGTGCTGTAATGTTTGGCGGACCCTCCCGCGCTTAGCCCATGGGATGGCACCACACTGATCCTCACGCGAGTCAAATTGGTCGTGGAATCACGCGGCGTTTGACGCATTTCAAAGACGAGTGAACGGAATGGGTTGCGGCTGGAGAGCCGCGCGGCTCCCCCAAGAGTCCAGTGGAACCTGTGCCGACTGTCGAGCCACGGACATTTAGTCACTGAAAGACGTCAGCTTACCAAGAGCAATCTCCAGCTTGAAGCAGGCTTCGGTCGCCGACCGCATTGGCTTGGCAACTCATCTGTCATGTCACCACTTGCTTGGATCCCATGTTGTATTATTGGAGAGAGGCTCTGGGAAATGAGGATAAGCAAAGGGTAGCATTCTGTATCGTTCATGCACCTTTGCCGGGTACGTGGTTGATAATTATAAGACTGTATCAAGCGAGGTGTGGGTGGGGGACGCGGTGTCACTCAGGCTCCTCATCCGCTAGGATCGCAAATGCTGGCTCAATACATAGTAGAAAACTGCGGATGAGGGAGCAGAGGAAGCGATAGCTACTACGAAAGATACTGGGTGCGCGTTGCTTTCCTTATCAGGAGGTGCTGGCCGGCTAGCCCTGGCAAGAAGTGTATGTGTGTGTACGCTTGCCCTTCATTTCTTTTCTGGACAGGGAGAGTAGTGTTCATCTTCCTGTACATCCGAAAAATGAACAAAGGTTGCATTCTTCTTGCTACGCCGCAGTCATACTGCAGTGCATTGAGATATGGGATCCTGCAGGTGAAGTCATGACCTAAGGCACATGGGAGGAGTCAATCCCGCTACATGTACCATGCAAGCGTAACCGCAGGGAAAGCAGGTTTTTTCCTATTACGGCGTCATTCTGCCGATAGAGGGATCTTAGGTGAGACGGGCGAGATTGGATTAGGTCCTCCCGGTAGTACGCACACGGAGAGCGGAACTCCGTTTATCCCTGCCGAGGTGTTTATGCGATGTTGGGAAGATAAGTCCAAGGAACGTGGTTTATCAAAGTACATTCAGTGAATCGAGGAATTCAACCTTAATTGAATAGTTGGTTCTTTTTTAAGAAGGCGCCTAACCATTTGTTCGTCCTGTTTTGGTCATTCTTATCGCGAGTTGCCTGTCGGGAGTGGCCTATCGGGATTCGTAGAGGGGGGGCCATGTATCAGGCCAAGTGCCGCTAACGACATTTGAGACGTGCACAAGTGCCGGTTATTACTGCAGAGGATCCTTTGCCTGCTTGATGAGTGTGGCACATACGTAAAATGATTTCCCCAATCGGTACTTCTGTTTTGAGGAGGACTGCGCGATCCCTGCCGTCCAAATCCGTCCCTGCTGCTTCCCCAGGTAAGAAGTCTCACCGGGACCGATCAGCGTATGTATTGGTCTATGGATGCCGGTAAGAATTTAGTGTCCCGACCCCGGCATATTCTTATTCAACACGTTACTGTGTTACATGTAATTTCAGACGGCCTCCAGAACTGCCGGGGTGTCGCGTGCCTTCATGTTGGAGTCTACAGCAAGATCACCAGTCTAAAATTAGAGAGCTTACTTGTAGCTCAACCAAGGGGAATAAGACAGCTCGAGTAGAATAGTATATATAATGGTCCTGCTTCTCGTTCATCTAGAAGCTGTAAATCAGCAGCAGAACAATCACCTCTCCAATCCTCCCCAGTCTTCCAACAAGCTCCTTTCAAGTCGTCAACATGCTTTTCACCAAGACCCTCGTCTCCATCTTTGCCCTGGCCTCTTTCGCCTCGGCCTTCTCAGATATTGAGGAGCGAGACGATGAGGTCCTCGAGGTCCGCCGGGAAGAGTTCCTCGAGGCCCGCGCCGCTTACATTGAGGCCCGAGACCTCTACATCGAGGAGCGTGGCAACATCATTTCCAGCTCATCTGTTAGTCTGCCCATTTTTCTTGGTGTTAACCCTTGTATGTCTCCCTAGCTAACCAGAGTGTTCTATTTAGGATGGTACATGCAAGTCCGGCGCCACTCCTCTCCCTTGCGTCAACAACAAGAAGAACAAGCGCTGCGGAACTTGCAAGGCCGGTAAGAAGGTCGGTGATGGATGCAAGTGCCAGTACTAGACATGCTGCATTCTCTTCACTGCCGAACTTTCCAAGTCGAGACGCTTTGTTTGTGTAAATTATATACTGGGATACCTTTCTGTGATTTAGCCAGTGGGATTTCGTCGTTTCTACAGTCGCAGGCTGTTATGTTATAGAGGGAACTGTGATGCTGTAACCAATACAAATCATTGACAGACTCAATTACACGATGATTGCCAAAATATGATTTTCTGTCGCGTACCGTGAATTCAATTAACGGCCAGTGTCCTACTGATACATTCCCTCGTATACATACCTTTTATCACTAAAGCTGTCAAGAAAATAATACCCTATCGCAATAATTCCGGCTTTCTTGGATGTGGCTGTAATTGGTGAGACTTACCAGCTCAATCGATGGCTAGAGCGATTTGTCGCAGCTTGCGATGACCTAATTTGAAGCATAATTCATAGAAGGTTTAGTTTCCACATTATTTACCCACGAGGGCACGTATGAGGTGAGGGGGAACAAATTAGCAGTTCGATCTAAAAAGATGAGCTCAGCTTATTTGTTACTATAAACACATGACTAGTATTTTTGGGGTTTTTTTTTTAATACTTCTCCTCCATGGGTACTATCATGATGGACGATGAAAATGAAGGGCATCACGTGACCTCATCTCTAGAACCGTCTCTGCAGGCTACCCTGTAGCTTGACCCACCCAGAACCGAATATTATATTGGCCATTGCTGGTATTTAAAAAGCATATACCTGCGATCTAGCTCGTCATAGTAAAAGGCTTGCAATGGTAGCAATTCAGAAGATCGGCGTCTTGTCGCTGGGCGAGATGGGAGCAGGCATTGCTAGGTTGTTGGTTGCTCATGACTTTACTGTGGCTACGAACTGTCAAGGCAGAAGGTGAGTGAGGCTTTTATACGTACATCACGGTCCCATCCCCAAATATCATAGAAAGCCAATGGAGCTGACCAAAGGATGACCGAGCAGTGAAGATACTCTCAACCGAGCACGCAATGCTGGTGTCGAGCTCCTCACCTCTGACCAAGAGCTGGTCCAGAAATGCTCAGTTGTCCTCTCAGTTGTCCCCCCTCGTGATGCCGAAGCCACTGCCCAGAGGGTCATCGACGCTCTATCGGGCGGCTCGAGGGGAGACCGGCTGTTCTACGCCGACCTCAACGCCGTTTCCCCCGCCACGACCAAGCGCATCGCTGCCATGTTCGAGAAGGCCAGGGCGCCCGTCCGTTTCATCGACGGCTGTATCCTCGGTGCGCCGCCGAGGCTCAAATCAGACGCCGACCCTGGCACGAATGTAAGTATGAGCGACACCACCAGCAGGGAGTTCAACTGGGCTCGTCCCCGTATCCCCATCTCCGGCCCCCACTCGCTTGCGGAGGAGCTAGAAGGCGGGGAGCGGCTCGCATCCGTCCTCAACCTCAGGTCCATCTCGTCCGAGATTGGGGCCGCAAGCGGGCTCAAGATGTGCTTCGCGGCCATGACTAAGGGATATACTGCGATAGCCACCCAAAGCTTCTCCACGGCGCACCGCCTCGGAGTTGCCGGGGAGCTGAGGAAGGAGATGGCCGCGGTGATCCCAACTCATCTTGGGGAGGCGGAGAAGGGCGTTCCATCTATGGTGCCCAAGGCGTACCGTTGGGTGCGGGAGATGGAGGAGATTGCTGCGACGATGAATGAGGAGGGTGGCTGGGGGAGGGACATATTTACTGGCGCCGCCGGCGTGTACAAGGCCGTGGCTGAGGATGAGGTTCTTAGTAAGGAGAAGACGGGGAAGAGGAGCAGGGGCACATCCATAGAGGATGTGGCAGCTGCCATAGGAGAAGGCTTCGAGAGAAAGAGAAAGAAGACAGAGTGATGGAGACAGATTTAAGCTCGTGCTGATTTTACATACATAGAGTTACAGGATGACCGAGTGGAATAAAACCAGGCCAAGTAGCTAATACACAGCGGTAGGTATACATGTTACCCCAAAGAGATATCTAGAAAATATCCAGGTCCGGGGGCATCAGAATATCGGGCATCAGTAGCCCTGCTGTACCAAGATCTGATGTATCTGCCTCATTTGGCCGTCCCGTTGCAAGAAAGACCCTGGAGTCCGGGACAGACAGTTTCATAGAAGAGCCCACTTCACCTAGGATCGAGCCTTTCAACTTTGTGCTGTGGAGGAACACGGCTTTGTTGGATAATGCCACGAAGTGATGACCAACTGAAACGGACATGGTATCCTCGATCTCCGGCAGGTCATCGCCAGACCCTACAACGCCAAATGTGAAGGGGCCTGGCAGAGGCTTTCTGACCGAGGGATGGGGCGCAAAGAATTGGATACTGGAACCAACGGGTGCAAAGCCGGAGTCAGCACCCCCTTGGAAGAAGTTGGCTAGCTGATCCTCCTCGGACAGCGAGAAGTGGGATGTTTGGGGATCCAGAGACAAGAGGCCCTTTTTCTTACCCCATCCTCCGCCGCCGCTCACTGTGTGCGATGTTAGTTGTCCTTGTAATTATTACGCGTCTATTGGTTACGCAGGGAGAGCTTCATATGGTTGCTAGGAGTCCACTTACACAGCTGGTATAGGCGACCCCCGTTCCTCATTGCTTCATCGAAGTATTGGTTATTTTGTAAGATCTCTTTGCGAAGAGTCTTTGGCTCCAGAGTTGGATCACCGAACCGGCCCACGTCAGGTGGTGAGAGGGAGGGAGCCCCTTCAGGGGTTATAAATGCATACATTGGAAAAGGACTCTGATCGGATTCGTTCCTGATCTTCCAGACATTTTCAACAACAGCTTCCAGCTCTGTGGATGCCGGAGTGTCTTCTCCGTAGCATTCAACTGCTCTGACGATGTTTCCAAAACTTTGAGTTACCACACGGGAGGGGGTGAGTGCGGTAAGCGGCAGCAGGGTTCCAGCGCGGGAGTCTGCTGGTAATATTATGTCCTGGGTGTAGGTCTCCTTTTTCTTAATAAGCTTCGGGGATGGCCCTGAAATGTCATATTGAGCAGCGATTAAGGTCGACTGCTTGTTGTTGTTGAATATGGTATTGGATAGGGGAAGCGTGACGCTCGACCCAGAAAAGTCAAGGAACTGAAGAGCCGACGTCGCATCAGAATCCTCTTTCTGCTTAGGTGGCAGTTCTTTCCACAGGTTGGGTATTAGTTGAAGATTTCCGCGACAAACCGCAATGCCTTCCTCGTATCGTTTGCCGTTCTTGTTAGGATGTCCGGCAATACGGTCAGCTACTCCCACCAGAAGATTGAAAACTCCGTCTTTACGGGGCGAGCAGGATATCGTCTTGACTAGGCCGGTGAGAAATCCATCGTCACAGACAAGTCTCGCTAAGCCAGGAGACGTTAAGACAAGGGCGGTATCATGAATATTAGAATTGCGCCTGATAGCTTCATCCCTCTCAAGAGACTGTTTTAAAGCACCAAGGGTCACGTCACGGCTTTGCTAAGAACCGTCAGTTGAGCTTCTATGGGATTCAGGGAAAAGAGACGAAGGCCAGTACCGTGGCTTTTGTAGGCATATGAATATTGAACACTACAGGGGACGGGATCTCCGTACCAGTGTTGATCTTCCTACATTGCGCCCGCGCTATTGATAGACGAGAGATTGTTGCTAGAGACCGAGGAATGGGTCTGTATAGCCCTTGCCGGGGTAATAAAGAGAAAGCCATGGTTTCGGTCCGGGCGTCTGTCGCCTGGCCTTCCTGGTGTTCTGTTTAATTGATTGGTGGAGAACGAGATCGAGAGATGGGATTATTGCTAGTAACTCATGGCAAAAACAAAACCCCGGATTACATTGATGACTCTATACGAGAGGCAATTCGGCCAACACAGAGAGTCATCTAATGGTCACTTGGTGAACTGAATCTGACCTTTGCCTTATCGCCTTATCGGCTTCGAACAATGGCTGTGGCTGAAGCTTGCGCCACATGTGGACGAGGGGTCAAGCCACATCAAGGACCCCTCATCGCACTAAGATAATGCAGTGGAGGGGAACTAGTTTTGTCCCGCTTCAATTGATTCTTCCTACCATCGGTGATTCTGATCGTTCATGTGGTGGTTGAGTCATCTGGCCCGCTTCTCCTAGCAATTTTGCTCCCACGCGAGGTATAGGTCAGGTCCAGTCAGTGTTCCGAAGCCCTCTCTAGCGGGCTTCACTTTTAACATTTCACCACGACGTTCAGGCTTGCCGTACGTGCACTTCGAGTGCGATCTGCTTCCCCACGACCTTTGACTACGACTGTTCGCGCCGCCGCCGCCATGGCTACAAACAGCGGACCAGGATTGCCTGGTAAGTAGCATCTTGCGGAAGCCTTGAGAAATCTCATACGATTAGATGCATCGATAATCAACTTTTTGTTCTCCTTCTGTTCTAACAGTTAGTGTTTTCTGAAGGAAATGACCAGAGCGCCAGCGCACCCCCCGCAGCCCCTGTCGCAGATGGTGCCGTTCCCAAGGTGAAGACCGAGAAGGAACGTAAGTAATAGAGTCTATAGCCCCCGAGAATCCTCCAGAATCAAATCGCTGAAGAAGGCTTCGTTTAGTGGAAAAGGAACGCAAGCGAGCCGAGAAGGTCGCCAAGTTCGAGGCCAAGAAGGCCAAGGCTGCTCAGTCCGCCGCCGCCCCTGTGAAGGAAAAGAAGGTCAAGGAAAAGAAGCCACAGGAGATTGTCCCTGAGTACGTGGAGGAAACTCCCGCCGGCGAGAAGAAGCGAATCCGACCATTCGAGGACCCCAATTTCAAGGCTTACGACCCGATCGCCGTCGAATCTGCTTGGTACAGTTGGTGGGAGAAGGAAGGTTTCTTCCAGCCCAAGTTCAAGGATGATGGCAAGGTTCAAGATGAAGGCAGCTTCGTCATTGTTCACCCTCCACCAAACGTTACTGGAGCTCTCCATATGGGTCACGCATTGGGCGACTCTCTCCAGGATATCATGATCAGATGGAACCGTATGCAGGGCAAGACCACCCTGTGGCTCCCTGGATGCGACCACGCTGGTATTTCCACCCAAAGCGTTGTCGAGAACATGCTGTGGAGACGCCAGCAAAAGACACGCCACGACCTTGGTCGAGAGAAGTTTATCGATACCGTTTGGGAGTGGAAGGGTGAGTATCACAAGAAGATCAACAAGGCCCTTTCTAGTATGGGTGGCTCATTCGACTGGAGCCGAGAAGGTACGTCTTTTTTCTTTCTCCATGCTCAGAATTTTGATATATTGAGCATTGATTCTTACCATTACCCTTTCTTTAGCTTTCACCATGGATGAGAACCTGTCCGCAGCCGTCACAGAGACCTTTGTCAAGCTCCACGAGGAAGGCGTTATCTACAGAGCCAATCGTCTTGTCAACTGGTGTACAAAGCTGAACACCGCCTTGTCGAACCTCGAAGTTGTCAACAAGGAACTCACTGGCCGCACCCTCCTTGATGTGCCAGGATATGAGAAGAAGGTTGAGTTCGGTGTTATTGTTCACTTCCAGTACCCCATTGAGGGTTCCGATGAGAAGATCGAGGTCGCCACTACCCGTATCGAGACGATGCTTGGTGACACGGGTATTGCCGTAAACCCTAAGGATGCGAGGTACACCCACCTTGTTGGAAAGGTAGCTCTCCACCCCTTCATCGAGGGCCGCAAGCTCCCGATTATCGCCGATGACTACGTCGATATGGAATTCGGAACTGGTGCTGTGAAGCTCACCCCGGCACATGACCCCAACGATTTCACTCTTGGACAAAGACATAACCTCCAGTTCATCAACATCCTGACTGATGATGGCCTGCTGAACGAGAATGCCGGTCCTTACAAGGGTCAGAAGCGATTCGATGTGCGCTACACTATTCAAGATGCTCTGAAGGAGAAGGGTCTATATGTGGACAAGAAGGACAACGCGATGAAGGTGCCACTTTGCGAAAAGTCGAAGGACATCATTGAGCCGCTTATGAAGCCTCAGTGGTGGATGAGAATGAAGGAGCTGGCTGAGCCAGCCTTGGAGGTCGTCCGAAATGGCGACATCAAGATCAGACCTGATACTGCTGAGAGGAGCTATTTCCGCTGGCTCGAAGACATCAACGACTGGTGCATCAGCAGACAGCTCTGGTGGGGACACCGATGCCCTGTCTACTTCGCCAAGATTGAGGGCGAGGTCGGAGATGCCTCAGAGGAAGGTCTTTGGTTCTCTGGAAGGACACGAGAGGAAGCCGAGCAAAAGGCCAAGGCTGCTCTTCCCGGAAAGACATTTACCCTGGAGCAGGACGAGGATGTCCTTGACAGTAAGCACTTTCGAACACGAAATATCTGGCGTACCTTGTAGCTAACGTGACAACAGCTTGGTTCTCATCTGGCCTTTGGCCATTCAGCACTCTGGGCTGGCCTAAGAAGACTCACGATCTTGAGACATTGTATCCCACCGCCGTCCTGGAGACTGGATGGGATATTCTCTTCTTCTGGATTGCCCGCATGATTATGCTCGGACTGAAAATGACTGGCAAGATCCCTTTCAAGGAGGTTTACTGCCACAGTCTGGTCCGTGATTCGGACGGTCGGAAAATGAGCAAGAGTCTTGGAAATGTCATTGACCCTCTCGATGTCATCTCCGGAATCAAGCTTGAGGAGCTCCATGATAAGCTCCTTCTCGGCAACCTTCACCCCAGTGAGGTGGCCAAGGCTACCAAGTACCAGAAGACCGCTTTCCCAGATGGAATCCCACAGTGCGGTGCTGATGCCTTGCGATTCACCATGGCAAACGCTACCACTGGTGGAGGCGATATTAACCTCGACGTCAGGATGTAAGTTTACCGCCTTCCAACTCTTTCTTTATCATGCCTTTCTAACTAATATTAGTATCCACGCCTACCGAAAGTTCTGTAACAAGATCGTGAGTTGACAACATGAGGAACTGTTTTCAGGATGTCTTTATACTAATGCACAGCACAGTTCCAAGCTACTAAATACGTCCTCGGTAGCTTGCCTGAGGACTTCGTCCCTGCCAAGGATGCGTCCGCTACTGGCAAGACCCTAGCAGAGCGCTGGATTCTGCACAAGATGAACGCTGCTGCACGAGACGTCAACGCCGCTCTGGCCGACCGAGAATTTTCCAAGGCCACGATCCTTGTCTACCGCTACTGGTACACCGAGCTATGTGATGTATACATTGAGAACTCCAAGGCCATCATCCGTGATGGCACTGAGGAAGAACGCCAATCTGCTCTGCAGACTTTGTATACTACCTTGGACGCAGCTCTCGCCCTGATCCACCCATTCATGCCATATATCAGTGAAGAGATGTGGCAGCGAATGAAGCGCAGACCAGGAGATGAGACCAAGTCCGTCATGCTCGCCAAATACCCTACTTTCAACCCGGCCCTCGATGACCCAGCATCAGAAACAGCTTATGAGCTCGTTTTGGAATGCACCAAGGCCGGCCGTTCCCTGATGGCTGAGTACGCCCTCAAGGAGAACGTTGACTGTAAGTTTACCCACGTGCCTAGCCAAACCATGTGCAATTTAGGAAATTTTGTTAACCTTTCGTTCAGTCACTATTCAAGCGTATGACGAGACGACACTGAAGACCGTGACCGAGCAGGTTGCATCTATCAAGTCTCTCGCAGGCAAGGGTGTAGGGAACATCCACATCCTTGGCTCTGATGCTGCCCGACCTGCCGGTAGCGTCTCGTACCCGGTGTCTACCGTTGCCTCCGTGTTCCTATACGTCAAGGGCCGCGTTGACATGGACGCCGAAATTTCCAAGGCACAGAAGAAGCTTGACAAGGCTGTGTCTAACCTGAAGAAGCAAGAGAAGATTTTCACCGACCCAGGATACAAGGAGAAGGTCTCCGCTGCTGTTCAGGAGACCGATCAGGCCAAGCTGGCCGAGCTCAGACAGGAGGCCAAGACCTTCACGGAGACAATCCAGCAGTTCGAGCAGCTCAAGTTAGAGTAGACAAGATTTAGACGTATCTCTGGCAATAAAATACCCGACAAGCATCCCCGCTGTTGGGTCGCAAGCAAAATAGTTAAAGGTTTAAAATAAGCATAAAAAAGGGGAACTGGGACCAATATTTACACTTAGTTCGCACATTGCATGAGATTATAGGTTCTTGTAATTACTTTATTTAGTTCGCTTGCTTTTTTCAAATCCATACAAAAGAGTTGCATCCTATCCTCACTCATCTTCCACCCTTTCCAGGTCCATCATCCTTCCTGGCGCCTCCACGCACAGGTCTAGATTGTGCCGCCTCATGGCGTTTCAGTTCATCCGGTACCTTGGATATTGAGCTCTTGCTGAGCATCTGCCTGAGATCGTATAGGACGTCCGAGTCTTCATTGCCCAGGAAAGTGATGGCAACACCACTCTTTCCAGCACGACCTGTACGACCGACACGATGGGTGTAGCTCTCGATGGATGTGGCCATGTTGAAGTTGACAACGAGGGAGACGTCCGGGACATCGATACCACGACCAGCCAGATCTGTGGCGACGAGAACTTGTGTCTGGCCTGACCGGACCGATCCCAGCGCTGCTTCACGCTGCTCCTGCGTCTTGGAGCCGTGGAGCGTAACGGCTGACCAGCCCATGTGCTTGATATCCCTTGCCACGGCATCGCAGTTGCGCTTGATGTTGACGAACACGATGATCGGCGCAGGAAACTGATCGGAGGAAAGGATCTCCTGAAGACGCTTCTTGCGACGGTCCTCTCCGGGAATGAACTCGACACGTTGTTCGACGGTATCGACAGCCTCGCCAGCATTACCAATGGTGACGGTGGCCGGGCGGCGGAGATACCTCCTCGCAATCTTCTCGACGAGGGGTGGCATAGTAGCCGTGTACATCATAGTCTGGCGGTATTTGTCTTTGCCACCGAGGTATTGTTTCATCAATTGGGCATTTTCTGCGTCGTCGGTGTCCGGCTTCTCGTTCGAGACTGGCAGGGCGTCGAGGATCTTGTTCACTGATTCCTCGAATCCAAGGTCGATCATACGGTCTGCTTCATCCATGATGATGTAGCAGCACTGTGACAGAACGAGCAACCGCCTCTCAATACAATCAACCAGACGTCCAGGGGTGGCCACGATGATTTCTGCGCCGTTCCGCAAGGCATAGACTTGTTCCTCAACAGAGTGACCACCCACAATGCTGACTGAGCGGAAGCCCAGGGGTTGAGCGAACTTGCGAGCCTCGGTCTCGATCTGCTGGACCAGTTCACGTGTTGGTGCAAGAATGAGGGCATAAGGACCGTCGTTCTTGTTCACCTCAGTGAGGGGAGGGAGATCTGAGATGTATACCAAGAGAGGGAGGAGGAAGGAGGCTGTTTTACCGGAACCAGTCACGGCGACACCGATGAGATCTCTGGCTTGCAGTGCAATGGGTATAGCTGCTCGCTGAATCGGTGTTGGCTCCTTATACCCAACCTGTTCGACAATGTCGAGTAAACGCTTGGGCAGGTTGGACTCTCTCCAGCTGCGCATGGGGTTTGGAATGGCACCTCCCTTTGTGGCGATGCCGAAGTCTTCCTTGAAGATGCGCCAGTCTCGCTCCCTCATTTCCGAGAGAGACTTCTCTGACCAGCGCCTGCCCAGGCCTGTCCTTTCGGCACGTTCTCGTGCCTTCTCTCGAGCCCTGTAGAAATCCTCCATGATGCCCTTTGCTCGCTCCTTTCCGTTCTCCACGTCTCGCTGCTCAATCATCCGCGACCTCTTGCGAGCCCGCTCCTCAGCCTCGTCATCAAATTCGCCTCCAACACCGGCAAACGACGAACCCCGGTTGAGAGCCTGATTCGCGTAGAGAGGGTCGTGATCCCTCCAAGTATCCTCATCTGCGTCCCACTCAAAGTTGAATTTCTTTTCCGTAGTCCTCATTCGTTTCTTCTTGGCCGAGAAATTAGACTGCTGATTTACCTGGGGCCCGAGGTAGCGCGAACGCAATAGCGAGGCTTCAATGTCCTCAGCCGAACGCTTCTCGACGCCGTTTTTGCCAGAGTCCTTCTGCTTCAGCCCATCGCGCCCATCGCGCCCATCGCGCCCGTCGCGCCCGCCATCTTGGCCACGCCCGTTTGTCTGCTTCATGGCCTTGGGCCCCGTGGGAACATGTGTGCTCCCACCAGAGCTCCCGCCCATGTGTGTATCTGCATCTCGTCGCGATGCCGAAGCCCATTTGCGCTCGTCCTCTCTTCGCTTCTCTTCATCTTCGGTGGTCTTTCGCTTCTTTTCCTCTTCCTCCTGCTTTGCTTTCTCTGCGGCGAGGCGCTCGCGCTGGGCTTTGGGGATGAACTTTGGTTTCGCAGCGGCGGCGTCTGCTGCCTTCTTCTTGCGAAGAATCTCCTCGATGTCCAGAGGCATCCTGAAAACGGTTGGGAAAAGACAACCCGACCAAATATTCTGTACGCGATGTTTCGTTTATCTATCTGCGTTGCGTGTTTAGGCGATAAATCGAGGGTCACATGTGTCGGAAATGTGAACTGTGACTTGGGAATTAATGATGCAGGTATAGAAGGTGCTGGACGGAAAAGAAGGACCTAATCGGACAAGGCTGAGAAACAGATAGCCTGCTGGGAAGCTTGGGCCAATCAGCTCGTCGAGGGGCTGGTGGGGCCTGAAGACAGGGGTACCGAAATCTTGACAGCCGGCAGCCTTACATGGAGATAGATTCTTGAATTGAAAACCCACCTACCGCAATCCCCGCCAACGCACCACGAAACCCAACACCTCCCGGCCGACCCAAGCCCCAGCGGAGCTCAATCCGTGACAATGGCGTCGTCCGCCAAAAACTACATCCAGCTGGCCAAGTCGCTGCCCTCGCCCCTGCAGCGCTTTTTCGCCCGCTGGCCCCCGGCTGCTATCGTCCCTGAGGGGACTCCAAAAACCCTCTACCAAGAGCGACGAGCGAACCCCTTCGAGTTCTTCAAGAACCCCGCTACGGGGAAGATGCAAGACCCCGTCTATTCGAACCGCCGCCAGGCCCAGCTCGTTAAGATGGCTCGCGAGCATGGCGTTGAGCACCTGCTTCCGGAGACCAAGAAGGGATTCGAGTACCGCCTGGCCCACCGTGTGGAACATGGATTGAGAGTCAAGGGTACTGGTGTTGGCCAATCCGTCAAGGGACACATCCACGAAAGACATATGATTGCCAAGTACGTATTAGCATTATGCTTAGCGAATCGTTATGAGAAGATTATCAGGCTAACAGCAAGAACAGGATGGAAGCCAGGAGAAAGGCCATGTTGGAGATGCCCAAGCTCATCAAGACCTGGAAGAGGGTAAGTTTAATTTCAGCCAGCCTGATCTTTCTTGTCTTGAGTTATCATGCTGACAATTCATATAGGTTGGAAAGTACGCCTGGACCAAGTGGCCGAAATGAACGATATACGATGGATCTTTTTTTGGCGCCATGTAGATATCCCATGTATTTCTATGTACCAACATGCATCATATTTACATCAGCTCGCAAAATTATTTGGTCCATCTTATATGACTGAAACCGTAATCGCTTACCGTACCCTTCGGCTTCATGCAGGTTGAGGAAGAGAGATCCCAGGCCTCAAAGCCTTCAGTAATAATGACTTCGAAAAGCAATACACCATACGGATTAGCATCAAAGCAAAGAGCAGTACACAAAGCTCTGGCACGTGTTGAAAATAGAAGAACCCATCGAGAATAGGTAGCTTGCATTTGCAGCTGCTATCATCATATCCAAGATCACGTGACCACACTCAAACACACTTTTCATCTTGAGCTTGACAAGACATCTCTCATGAGACCTCACCAACCCTCTCAGAATACTCATCGGCATCTCAAAAAAGCCGCTGAGGCCTCGCGGCTCGGGGACAAATGGAGGAACCCAAGACGCCCGCCGCGGTGTCTCACTACCAGGTTCTCAACCTCACCCAGTCCCTCGTCGACTCACACCACAACCCATCAGCGCTCATCAAACGAGCTTACCGCCGCGCACTCCTCCAGAACCACCCGGACAAGGCGGCCCAGTCCCCGGCATCCACCTTCCACTCCGTCGACCAGATCACGGCCGCCTACACGGTGCTCTCCTCCCCGAGGGACCGCGCCGCCTACGACGCCTCCGCCCGGCTTTCGCAGCACGGCAGCCAGGACCCGACGACGACGTCGGTCCAGTTTCGCACAGGGGTGGAGAACGTCGACCTCGACGACCTGCCCTTCGACGAGGGCAAGGATGTGTGGTACCGGAGCTGCAGGTGCGGCAATGACCGGGGCTACGTCTTCGGCGAGGATGACCTGGAAGAGGTAGGGGACGAGGGGGAGCTCATGGTTGGCTGTCTGGATTGTAGTCTCTGGTTAAACGTTCATTTCGCACAGGTCGACAACGATGAAACCGCTGGAACATACAGGTCATGGCCCCTTGAACTTCCCAAACGTGCTAGCACCGCCGCAGGAGACTTACCCTCCTCTGTAAACAAGTTGCTTATTTGTAGGCCAAGGCATTTGGAATACCTCCAAATCCGCCTCCCGTGCAGGTCTTACGTACAAACTTGGAAAGATGAAGGCATTGCCATCAATGTTCTGCTCCCTGTTCATACACGCACACACCATCTGATACATAGACCCCCAGCTGTCACATGCTTGGAGGCGGCGGCAGGTCATTTGGCCTTCTCGTTTCATCTTATCGCAATCTGGGCGCTTGGCCAAGCTTTCAAATTCATCGATGTCGTCACTTCTGCGATAACGGGCAACCGTATTATGTGTAGTATTGAAATCAATTTTTGTATTTTTACTTGTCCATACGGCCACAATAAAAGAGTCTTTAGAGCCAAAGCACATTTGTACTCTTCTCAAGATCTCTATGCGAGTTTCCGATGGAGAAAGATAAGCCCCTCTCCTGTTCTTGGTTTACGCAATCACCTAAACGATGTCGAAGCTCTTGATCACAAAAAGAAACCGAAGTCTTTCCATTCCACTCCGTAGACACCAGCCCAATACCCACATTTGCCAAAAGCATGGACACTCCCAATGGTATCCTTAACTTTACTCAGCAGGCTTGGGAGCCTCCTCAGTAGCAGGAGCGGCCTCAGTAGAGGGGGCGGCCTCCTCCTTGGCAGGGGCATCGGCGGAAGCAGTGTTGTCGGCCTCAGAAGAAGTCCAGAGAGTAAGGTTGTCACGGAGGAGCTGCATGATCAGAGTAGAGTCCTTGTAGCTCTCCTCGCTGAGGGTGTCGAGCTCTGTTTGAACACACAAAAGTTAGAAATGCCATATACAAGATCGGCAGTGAAGGGAAACCTACCGGCAATAGCATCATCGAAAGCCTGCTTAGCCAGGTGGCATGCCTGGTCAGGAGCATTGAGGATCTCGTAGTAGAAAACGGAGAAGTTCAGGGCGAGACCCAGGCGGATGGGGTGGGTAGGAGGGAGATCGGTCTGGGCAACCTCGGTGGCAGCCTTGTAGGCCTCGAGAGACTTGTCGGCGGAGTCCTTGCGGCGGTCGCCGATGGCGAACTCGGCAAGGTAACGGTGGTAGTCACCCTTCCTAGAATCGGGGAATTAGTTCCATCCCAGCGAGCATTCATATGAGGGTCAGGTCAATGCATACATCTTGTGGTAGAAAACCTTGGACTCGCCAGACTTGGCAGAGGGGATCAGGTGCTTGTCAAGAACCTCGAGGATATCCTCGCAGATCTTGGCCAGCTCGTTCTCGATCTTCTGGCGGTACTCCTTGATCAGGGTAACCTGGGATGAGTTGCCCTTGGTCTCCTCCTTTTGCTCAATAGAAGTAACTATTCTCCAGGAGGCACGGCGAGCGCCAATAACATTCTTGTAAGCAACGGACAGCAGGTTGCGCTCCTCGACTGTCAGGTCACGGTCCTCGGAGGCGACAATCTTCATGTTCTCAACCATCTCTGTGGAGCCGCGTTAGTGGCTGCTGGCTTGAGGGAAAGACGAGGGGGGACTGGAAGGTGTTGGTCATACCCTCGTAGCGCTCAGCCTGCTCGGCGAGCTTAGCCAGATAGACAGCATCTTCTTGACACATTTTGAATGATTTTGGTCGTGGTGGACTAGATCGGACAATGCGAATTAGCAACAGTACAAGCCAGAGATAACACCATTTGGCGCTAACAACCTGGGAAAGTAGGTTGGACAAGTTGTGGTCAAATCAGGGGGAAAAAAGGGAATCTGAGCCCGAAAATGGCTTCGCGAATGAAAATTGAGTATACAATCGTGATAGGAATTCGTATGGATATGGGTAGCGAACGCGCGAGACGATGCTGTTGAAGAAGCGATCCTCGCAGTTAAAGACGGTCAAGCGAACCTCCCCTCCCCCCGCTCTCGCTCAATCAGAGGGGGTGGTGGGGTTGGGTGTACAGGGCGATGTTGATGGTATTCAAACGGTCTTGGGGGGTTGGAGGATGATCAATCGAGTGCGGATGAGTGTGTATCCAGTCAAGGAGTGTATACTCATCGCGAGTATCGCCATGTCGCAGGTATCCAGGTCGAGGTTCAAAGTTCAGGGCAGTGGAGGGGGGCGGACAAGGAGGTCATGACGACAGTAATGGCAAGAGCCCAGCAGTTGCGCGACATTTCTATACATACCGTTATGTGTATCGAAAGGTGAACGGTCAAGTGAATGACTTTCTTTGTCCCGGGCTGGACTTGGTGCAGTAGAGAAGGCGCGGTGAGTAGTTGTTTGTGTCTAGTTGTGGTTTGGGGAGAGGTGGGTTCAGGGAAAGGCGGACGGGATCAGTGGAAATTGAAGAAGGGGTTCGGCGAGCAGCCTCAGGCTGGGCACAGGTGCACCACGGCCACGAATGCACAGAGAAACTGGGCTTCCAGCATTAGGAGGAAGTAGGCAGCAGGCACTGTACTGCAGGTACTGTATGTAGCCCGTGACGCCGCCGATCGGCGCAAGATACAGGCGGGTCAGCACTAATAGCGCCTGCTGCCAGGTACCCCGGCGGGCTGGATGACATAAAATACAGCACACCCTGCCAGGGCCTGAGCACTCCTTGCATTCAGACATCCATCGTATTAACAGTGCAGCAATGAAGCACAGGGACGATAATCTCCATAATGAGTAAACCATGAGCGAAACCACAATGTGTTTGTGTCCGCCTGTAAAACAGTTGTCGTTTTCTTATCAATCAATGGATACCAAACCATGATGCATGTCCTATCGAAGGCAAGAGCGCATTGCGGTGCTGTCTGCTGTTTTATGTCGCCCTCCAGCCCGGAGTACAGTACTTGCCCGCACAGTGTCAATTTCAGGCTAGATAGGACTAGAGCTGCTAGTACAGCATTGGGACAGCTGTGCTCTGCCCTTCCAGTGGGCTAGCTGCCCTGTCATCTGCCTAATCAGCAGCTGAACCGGGAGCTGTGGTTGGGTGGGCGCGAGCCACAATGCCCAATGGTGGTGGCACAAGGCCATTCGTCACTGCCAGTCAAACAGACAAAAGAAACACCGGCGCCCAATCAAATGCCCATTCACATGGAAGGAGATCGATCCTAATGGTCCTCATCGGCGCAGGACAATGTCTCAGAGAGTCCCTTTATTCCTGCGGCACCGCACCGTCCCCTGCTGTTGCACAGCCTCAGGTACGAGGGCGGTACCTCAGCGAGCGTCCAAGGTACTCCCAACTGTTTTTTCCCTTTTTCGCTTTTATGTGCCACTTGTTGGGTCTCGGTAAGCAGGCCTACCGACCAGCATTGCACAACAGAGGCAGGCATCACGTCACCAGCGATGATTTCATAGGGGAACCAGAGCGTTTTCGCCTCCTCCTTGGCTCGCCGTTCCGATGAAACAGACACTAAAATCCGACCAAACAGTTTCTCCCAACAGAACACATCAGTATTAGGCAATCGTCGTGTTTTATTATACTTTTCTCACCTCCGAGCGCCACTGTTGTTTTATAACGATGCTATCATGGTCATATCTTCTTGCGACAGTAACCATCCCACCTCACCGGTGGTGCGCATGCAGCTTCAGTCACATAATGCTTGAAGGGCTGTGGTCATAAGGCGCATCCTGCAATGACGTGTGATGGGGATTCTGCCCACCACTACCCAAGCATGACACGTGCTTACATTCATCCTCGTAGGCTTCTCCTCGCACTACTGTGATAGGGTTGCAGTTCGTCCAACTCAGCCTTATCTGAATGGACACGGGCAATTGAAAGTGTGCAAAGGCAACCATCGAGTCCGCCTCGAGGACCCCGTCAGCAGCTACAACACATTAATGTGCATTTGCTGATGACACGATCACGACAACGTAGAAGAACAAGGCATCCAAACCAGCGTTTTAGCAAACCAATTATGGTCCCAAAAACTTGTTGACGATGCCCACCATCAAGTCCGATCCATAACATACCATCATCGCTGGCAGAACCAGCTACCTCTAGTCGGTTCGCTAATATGGGTCTACCGTTCCCTCTGGTGGTGCTATCATGGCCAGCGTCTACTAGAGGGTTCGAATAAGCAGCACATGGTTTCCCGATTAGATCCTTCAGCTGCAGCCTCCCCTTCAAGACGATTGGCTGTTCCCAAGCTCGTACGAAGAGCTGGACAGCCAGGTTTTCGGCCGGTTGGCTCACGTGGCGGTGCCTTGTGAGGCGGCGAGTAGACAAAGCCCAGCTCCCAGTGGTGCAAAACCACAGCCTTCGCCTGGCCCCAGCCAAATCCAGCTAGGCGGCCTTGGAAGTCAGGCCACAGGCACAGCAGAACCGAAGCCCGGGCTTTCCCGCATTGGTCAGTTACCCTGGTACATCTCCGCGAAGCGATCTTTTGCCCGAGGGGTTAGGTATCTCGCTAGCCCAGAGCTCCCCCAAACTCTGACCTCATCCGTCCTCCAATTGCCGCTCACGATTTGCTTTCCCTCTACTTATACCTGCCAATTGCGTCCCCAATTGTCAACCAATTCCCATCACACACCAGCAACCAATCATGCTTCGAACAACCTTCACCAAGACGGCTTCCGTCCGCCCTCTCCGCGCTGCCTTCACCACCACTGTTCGTGCCATGGGTGAAGGCGACACTGGTGCCCCGCCCAAGACTGGTGGTGTTGGGTGAGTAACTTCCCATCAACCGTCAACCGTCACCAAAAACCGGTGAACTACTCGTCGCCCCTCAATTCATGTGCTGTACAATACCAGCGGCTAACCGACGTTGTTTTGTTTTCCTCTAGTGACGCCTTCCAGCGCCGCGAGAAGGCCAGCGAGGATTACGCCATCCGCCAGCGTGAGAAGGAGAAGCTTCTCGAGCTCAAGAAGAAGCTCCAGGAGCAGAAGGAGCACCTCGAGCGCCTGTCCCAGCACATGTACGTCTTGCCGCATAGCCACCGCGATATGCGTCGTTTACGGGAAGCTAACCCATCATTTCCAGTGACGAGATCACCAAGGACCAGGACGAGAAGAACTAAATACCTTTAACCCAAACAAAACAGACGCACGATATTCGGCTGTTGGAAGGGAGGAAGTCGGCCCCATTGCACGAAACTGACGGCAAGGCGGTGTCTTTCACGTTCTCCGGTTTTTCACCCATGAGCCTGGCAGCTTCGGCAATTTTAGGCTAGTGTACATTACTCTGCGCATCCCAACACCTTTCAAAAACAGCGATCCGGCTAGGAATATGTGTGCCACGGTGTATCCATTATATGAGCTTGTGGCCGAGTCCCACCTCTGCTACTTGTAAATTTACCACCCAGAACTCCCAGAATATCAGGCCCTAAACATGTAAAATCTAAGAAAAAACAGCTCGCATATCCTTTTGCCCGAGAATCCCATCACTGTAATCATCGTCCCATGTATGAACGGTAAAAGCTCTCAGCCGCGTCGTTGTCGGCCACGCCATAATGGCTGCCCAGGTTGTGGCTGGTCTTCTGCGCCGCAGCGACCTTAGTTTGCAACTGCGAGGCGTTGGCATCGATCCATTGAAGCTGCGTGAGGTGCCCGTTGAGAACGCGCACAATCTGGCTCAGCTGTAGTTGAATAGTCAGTAAATAACGTTCAGAAAAGAAAGGGGGCGCAGGATGCGGGAAACATACAGGATCCTCTGGCTTAGCACCTTTGCTAAGTGTGCCTGAAATATCGTTGATCTCCTTGACCATTTTAGATAGATCTCGAGACTTTTCATCAAGTTGTTGGGTTAGCTTCTCGGCTAGCTTGTAGGTGCGCTCGCGCTCCTGGTCAGGGCCAGCGAGCTGTTCACCAGTACCGATCTGCTTAGCAAACATGTCCTGCAACTCGGACTCGTAACGGTCAAGCCAGGCCTCTAGCTCGTCCTGCTGACCTTCAACGGAGGAGAGCTGACGCTCAATCTCATGGCTGGCTCGCTCTGCCTCGAATGTGTCCAGGTACAGCTTCTGAATCTTCTCGCCATTATCCACAAGCTGTCGGTCCCAGTTCGAGACGACGGTTGCTTGGTCCTTGAACTCTTTTTGGTATTTCGACAAGTCCGAGGCCCAGCGGGTGACAATATCCTCCATCGTCTTATTCTTGAGCCTTGCAATTTGAGATGTAGGTCCAGTGGTAGATGCGCCCAGTGCGCTGGAACCTGGGGCAGGCGTGCCTGGCTTGGCCGCGTCCGCAGGCTTATTCGTCCCGGCAGCGGCAGCGGCGGGAGTAGAAGCAGGCTTGGCACCAAACAAACTTGAGGCAGCGGTGGTAGGTGCTGCTGATGCAGTAGGTGCCGCACTTGTAGCCCCAAGTGTTGCTGGGGCGGCTGCTGTTGTCGCGGTTGTCGCGGTAGGCTGGGAGGATGCTGCCGGGTTCCCGAAGAGAGCTGAGGCAGGCTTCGAGCTCGACGCCTCGCCAGCTGGCTTTGTACCGAACAAGGACGCTGAGGTAGCCGCTGGGGCCCCTGGAGCTGTTGTCGAAGCAACAGGAGGCTTGGCTGCGAATAGATTCACCGTGGCAGGTGCAGCAGGAGTAGCAGATGGCGCTTGTGCGTTGGCACCTCCAAACAAACCACCGGGTGCGGCAGCTGGGGTAGACGTGGCAGCTGCGCCAGGTTTGGTCCCAAACAGACCACCGGCAGCTAGGGCGGCAGGCTTAGTATCAGTAGCACTCGCTGTGGTGGTGGAAGTGGTTGGGAAGAGGCCACCTGAAGTGGCAGCAGGAGCTGTTGGCTTGCTAGCACCAAATAAGCCTCCAGGGGCTGCGGCTGTAGTTGATGCGGGAGGTTTGTTCATGCCACCGAATAGCGATGTCCCCGTGGCTGCGGGCTGGGCGGATGGGTTTCCGAATAGGCTGGGTCCAGTCGTTTTGGAGCTGTCAGCGGGAGGTGCACCGGCGGGTGTAGTAGAGGGCAGAGAGAACATAGGCTTTGCAGGAGTTGCTGCGGCAGCAGCTGTAGTCGCAGGAGCCAAGCTTTGAGCTCCTGTGGCCGTGCCAAATAGTGAAGGGGCGGCTGTAGTAGTCGGCGTCGATGACTGGGCCTGGCCCGTGGTCGGTTGCCCCATGGAAAACCCTCCTGCTGATGGAGTAGTTATGCTACCAGTTCCAAAAAGCCCTCCTGCAGGTTTCGCTAATAGACCTCCTGCGGGTGCAGATGTGGTGGCTCCGAACAAGCCTCCCGTGGCTGGCGTTGTTGATGCTGGAGTTGCCGTAGCCGCATTGCCAAAAAAGGAGCCACCAGAAGAGGCCGGCGCTCCGCTGGATCCTCCGCCAAAAAGGCCAGTTGCAGGCTTCTGGGCGGTGGTGCCGCTTTGCTGTCCGAAGAGCCCTCCTCCGGCGGCTGGCGTTGGGGTTTTGTTGTTGGTACCAAACGAAAATGAATTACCTTGACCCCCGAACAGCCCTCCCGCAGCAGGTGCGGTCGACGTCGGATTGTTCGATGCGGCGCCCGAGGAGCCCGCGCCTCCAAAGTTGAAAGACATGGCTGTTGTTTTGTTTTCGCTAGGCAAAGTCGTGATGGGAACGGATGATCGAGATCGCGAGAGGCTGAGGAAGACGATTGGACCCGATTCGTTTAGATCCTCACCATGACAAAGGGGGAACTTGGTCGATAAAGGGATGCCAACGGCGTCAAGGAGAGAAAGAGATTCCCGCCTGTTTGATGAATGGAGAGGCACGTGCAAAGGCGCCAACAACAAAGGATTATGGATGACCGTCGCCAGAGAACTAGGCTGGGAGCTTTTTTTTTGGGTGTAGCAGCCTCAGCTCCACGCGAACTGTGGTTGGGCGCGCCAGGAGCTTGGAGCCAGGTACTTCCGTACCGCACGCACGAGCCACACCCACTCCACCACTGGAGCCAGTCTTGAGCAGTGCACTAATTACTCCAAGTCGGACTGTCCGTCAGCACGTCGATCATCAACTTCGAGTGGCTCATGTGCCCTTTGCCCCAACGACATCCCAGCAGTGCAGTGCAGACCCTTCTCGCAGATTCAAAGTTGAGCATCCGTGCTCCTTTTCCTGCCTTCCTGCCTCTGCCTTCCTTCGACCCCGATAAATAGGAACAATCTGCCAGTTGGTGATTGCTCCTGAGAGCAGAGCGCCGCCCGCACCATTCGATCAGTCGCTATGCGTCCCCGGCCTTGAGCTGCCTCTCCATCCCCAAGGCCTCCACTCAGCGACATTAAACCACGATTTCCCGGGCCAATCTGCATCTCGATCTCACCATATAAGAGCCCGTCAATCGATTTACACAACTACGTATACGATCACCGGTTATTGGGAGAGTCCCCAGACCTCCTTCCACCACAATGCCAGCTGTTGAGGGGCTTGAGCCTCCAGCAGACTCCCGCAAAGCAAACCCCGGGGCTCTGACGCTGGGTATGAGCTCCCCCTTTCCATTCTATTCCTCCCCCCATTGACGCTTTTACCAGCAGATCAATCGGACTCTGAAGACCAGTTTGTAGATGCGCAATCTAGCCCGCATCCCATTTCTCCCATACCTAAGCCCCAGCTCGAGCAAGACAACAAGGAAACAGCACCCAGCGATATCCCAGGAACGGACGCCGACAAGCCAAAAGAAGATGATGGCATGATTGACGAGAAAGCGGTGCTGCACGAAAGCTCATCCGACTCAACGCCGCAGACTACTGGAGAAGCTCCCAAACCGACTACCGAGGAGGCTCCAGAACCAATTAGTTCACTCTCAGAAGATGTCGGCGAGAAGTTACCCGCGGCTGCTAAACCTGACGTCAAAGTTACCAGAACTGACGGGGTGGTAGAGGAGATCTCTACAAATGACTCTATAGGTACGATGAGCCGTATGCCCACAGCGTTGAGGACAAGTGCTGACTATAAGCAATAGTTTCTACACCCCAAGATGAACTCCCACCAGAGCCTCAGACGACTCGGGATTCCGATAGCAAAGAAGTCCTAGAAACGAGTATCAATGTCAATGGCGAGCATTCTCAGGATGATGATATGTCTGAGGGCTTTGACCAGTCCGAAGGCTTCGAAGAGTCGGGAGATGTCGAACATTCCGGTGACGATTTCGACGACTTTGAGGAGGGCGGCCAGGAAGACGACGACTTTGATGATTTCGATGATGGGTTTCAACAGGCTGAGCCTGTACCGACACCAACGCAGGCTACTATGCCAGTTCTGCCAGTGCTTCCATTTGTGAGTCCTATAACATAACATACGATGTGGTGCGATTTCTCACAGCCAGTACAGCCGATACCAGATTTCGAGGACCTCGATTCAGATGAGATCATCTCTTCGCTGGACGAATATCTCACGACACTATTCCCCCCAGAAGAGCTAGATCTCCCTCCTCTACCCCAACTACCTCGGGAAGCCTCGACTTTTATCACATCACGATCTGCCTCCCTCTGGTCACAACTCGTTGCCCCTCCACCCTTGGCGCCGCCGGATTGGATCAGATCTCGCACCCGCCGCCTATTTCTCGTCTCCCTTGGCGTACCTGTCGATCTAGATGAGATCCTCCCAGCATCAAAACAAAAGAAGCTCGTACTCCCTTCTCTAAACATTCCCTCCTCATCATCTCCCCGGACGTCACACGAAGCCCGCTCAGCTACACGATTACGGCAGGATGATGCCAACGCCTCAACCACCTCTGTCGACACACAAGGGAAGCCGAGGCACAGACGAGGCCCATCCCCGCAACCAGAACTGGATATTGTTGCAGCACGGCATCTCTGTACAACCACTGATGAAGCCCTAAACGGCATGACGGACGAAGAGTTAAGCAGCCACATAGAGAAACTGAAGGTTCTCGAAGTAACCTCCAAGGAGGTGTTGGAATACTGGACGAAGAGGACAGATGAGAAGATTGCTGAGCGGGAGACATTTGAGGGAGTAATAGAGAACTTAGTAAAACACGCGAGAAAAGTTCGCAAATAGTCAAAAGATATAATACCACACACGAAATAATCAAACGGACAAAAGAAGCACATTGATAGGGACCCTGATGGTTATTTTTCGAGATGCAAGTCAAGAAATAGATATA